TGAATGTGCATATCGACGTTCACGAGGCGATTACAAACGACTACGGAGAGCAAACTGAGTTTGATTCAATGCGGACGTGGTTGAAGGAAAGCAACGGACTGTTACAAACTTTTCAAATGAAATATAGTTCAGTTAATATGGCTTCTTATTATGACGCCTTGTGCAAGAATAAAAATATCATCACTAACTTAATAAATACAACAAAAAAAACAATGGTAAAAGGAGAAATAGAAATTAATATAAAAGATATCGTCTTCCATAAATAATACTTTCAATATTATAACAATACTCTATATTACGTGTGTAAGACCAATACTTATAATTAATTGAAATGGCGTTTTCAGATTAAATTAAATGCTAGTTATAGAATCGCTAAAGCGGTTACATGCGACGCAGAAGAGACTCGATTGAAACATTTGGCAACAATATTAGCTGACATATATTAATATGAGGAAATGTCATGTAAACACGGAAATATGACAAATGACAAAATTCATATTCTCGCGAAACTGGATAGCAAGAAACCAACGGACGAAGGCAGCATTTATGCGAAAAGCAATTATCCCGTATCGCAAAGTCTACGAGCTTACTTATGCATCGGTCTTCTGGATTGGATGCTTAATTATTGCAACAAGTTGTTAGCCGAGGAAGAAACACAATTTGTGGATTTGCTATTGGATTTGCTAGACGATGGCCTAAATGAAGTAGCTTTCTCTTATCAAAATCGCATTTGCAAACTTACTCAACTGGAAGAACAACTTTGGAATCACTTTTGTTAGTATTTTTCTTTTTCAATTTTGTAATTTGTTATAAATTTATATAGCATGTGCATTATTATTGCATATATTGTTGATTTGCATATAATTATATATAGCGTTAATTCGTCCATTTAATATTCTTTTTGCATATAATTTATATTTTAAATATTGCAGTAATTCCCAATGATGATAATGCTGATGAAAATGATGAGTATAAAAATATTAAGGAGAAGATCGATAAACTGAAACTTGAAGAACACGAATTTAGAGAGGAACGAGTTTGTATACCGAAATCCGAAGTTATTTTGGATAAAGCTTATTCACTTGTTTGGAAATTAAGTGATGATAATCGATTTCGATTTTTACATACTTTAGAGAAATTAAATAAAATACAAGAAATAAACTAACCCAAATTAGAAAAACCTTGTCAGAGAAGTTAATTAAAAGTATACCTCAAGAAATAGTTGAAATTATCAAAATACGAGATATAACCGGAGCTGAACTAAAAGAAAGCCCTATATCCTCAAATAATATATCATCAAATGTATTATAAATCACATATGCATGTAAATTTGCGTTTAATATAAAGTAAAATTTATAAAATTATATTTCTTTTAATAACTTTTTGTTAGATTATCGTAAATATTTAAAAAGTTTAGGTAGTCATTAGAACACATTGGTCTATACGTCATCGTAATTTAAAAAAATTAAATTAATTGAACTAAAATAATTAAATCAGAAAGAAATATTTTTATCGGCTCTCAATATTATGAATATAAATATGATGTTTTTTTTTTAAATCGGCCAACAGAGCCAAAGCACGAAAAATTAATTATTCGGAACTGTATCTCTTGGTTTGAGATCACTAAGTTCCATATATAAATTAATCTCGAAACTTATATATGGAGAAATAGGCGCGAAAAATATAGGTCCGAAAAGTTGCTGAAACGGGAATCGAAACCGCGTCTTTCACTTTCCGGGCGACTGCTCTTACCAACTAAAAGATACAGTTCCGAATAATTAATTTTTCATGCTTTGGCTCTGTTGGCCGATTTAAAAAAAACATCATATTTATATTTAAAATAATTAACATAACTTATAAAAAGTCTGCAGATTTTAAAAATCGTGTTCTTGATTCTCGATTTTCACTAATATTTTTCTATCAAAAGTAGATAAAATGAACAAGACAGATTTACTTCCTGTTAAAAGAATAATTAAAAAATTATTATAGCACTCAATACATAAGAAAATATATTAATTATGCAACGCATAAAAATTTAAAATTTAATTAGACTCGCGCGAGACTATATCCCTCATATTCTTTTCGTTGCGCGTCGCGCGCGAGACTGATGTCTATGCGAGGTTCCGTGAGCGCTTGATCGATGGTCACATGACCAATGAATCCACGTGACCACTGGTCATGTGACCATCGGTCAAGCGCTCACGGAACCTCGCACAGGCATCAGTCTCGCGCGCGACGCGCAACGAAAAGAATGTGGGGGATATAGTCTCGCACGAGTCTAATTAAATTTTTAATTTTTATGAGTTGCATAATTAATATATTTTTTTATGATATATATATTTTTATATTGTTAGTATTAATGCCTTTAATTGCCATTAAATTTCTTGTTTAATAAAAAAATATACAATATATGTTTGGCTAATTATTTGGCTCGAGAGATAAATGTGAAGAAAAATTTGATTCTCCAGTGATAATCAGTGGTCACATGACCAATGGATCCACGTGACCACTGGCGTGTCTGCTTGAATTTTGTATCAATCAAATATATTCTAAATTAATTAACGCGTTTTTTGCTCAATTGAAAATTGTTAACAATAATCGCTATTCTCACAATAATGTTATAAAATGCATTTTACATTGCAGTACGGATTATTTATTGCAAATAATTTCTCAATGACTGTGCATTATGATGCACATGAATCATATCGACACTGCATTTACATATATATATATATATAATGCATTATCTGCTCGGAAAATTTATTTTATATGAACGTAAACATTTTTTATAAATATTTAAATATTGAAAAAAAATATAAAAATGATGATTCTTCTAATTCAAATAACATATTAATTGAGCAAAAACCACTGGCAGTAATAAAATCTATTGTAACAAAAAATTGCTATTAAAACCTTATTTGTATTATATGTATGTGTATCATAGTCTTCTTTCTCAAAAATAATTGATCTCTAATAATGATATTCATTGAATCAATAATAATGTAATAAAACAACAATTTATCGCAATGTTTATATAGTTTGTCTTGTTAGCAGAATCGCGTCCGACACGTGTCATTCATTTACGTGTAAATACATAGTACAAAATGAAAAATCGACGTATTACGTAATCGAGAAAAAAATGAAAATTACGCACACAAAACACCGGTTCGCATAATCGGTATCTTGCACAACTGTATGTAAATAGCGAATAGATTTCGAAGAGAGAAAAGCCGGATGTAGGAGTGAAATAATAATTACTTTTTTATTCAAATATGCGATCCTATCGCATGCATGTTGCAACCATTCTTGAATAACTTTTTGCACATCGTGTAATGTGCATTCTCGTGCATCTGCTATATATCCTGAAACAAATTTAGAACATTATTTATTAATTAAATTGTACTTGCATTTTTACATGTAAATTTTACGACTTATCATATATGCATGAACTTATAGATTCAACAAAATTAAAATAATGACACGGCTTATCTTAAGCTATCTAGCCTTTCATAGTTTTTTAATTGTTTCACAAAGCTTTTACTTTTAAAGACACAAAATAATAAAATTAAAAATTATCAAATTAAAACACATACATATATAATTTATTGTTTTCTATTATAATAATTTTGCTTAGATATAGCTGAATATACGTATAAGCAACTTAAATATTGCATAAATAATCACATAAAAATTACATAAATCAAAAAATTACATACAAAGATATTTTTTCAAAGTTATAAATATTGACACAATTTTACAAAACGTGGAAAGAAATATGAGAAGCGTACGCGCACCAATTAATAAATCAAGGCAATGTAGAGAAAGCAGTGTCATATTTACTCTGTGTACACAAAATTTACGAAGCTATAGAAGAATTTTTAATGCTAATATGTTTAAAGAGATTTACGTGTTTGCGAGACGCAAATTGGATAATTTTTTAAGAAGAAGTAAATCTTCAAATTTGTTATATTCACCGATCGGTACGTTCGATACGGAAACAGATAGTCAGTTTCAAGAAGGATTATGGCAAAATGATCAAGATGGAATAACTTCTCTAATGCCATTCCGTCAAGTGGCTAGAAAATCAGAGCTTGAAGCCAAAACTATTAGAGACACTTTTGCTGAATATTTTACTACATATGACGTGATACCATGGCAGGATATAAATATTGATTATTATATTTACTTATAATTATTCATATTATTTATATATATTTATAAGAATATTACAATATTTGTAGGAAACAAAATATTGCGATATGTGCGAATTGCCTAAAGATACTAATGTATTAAGTTAAAAAATAAATATCACGAATAATTATTAATAAAAACAATATATATGTATACATATATTAGGGTGGTCCTTAGCATAAAAAAATTTATTTTATATTTCTGTAAGTCTCACCTCTGTTCCTTTTTCTTTTGGGTTAATAAGTAACTGGTAAAATTTTTAGAAAAGTTATTTAACCCTAACACGTGCCCCAAGGCGAGGGTAAAAATTTAAATAAATTTATTGATTCCTAAATTTTTACAATAACACTTTTATTAATTTTGTTTTAAATTTAAAAAGAGAGGCATAGCTGAGAATATCCGACTGTCTTTATCTGACACTTACTACTACCAGACAGAGACAGTCGGACTTTCAGCTATGCCTCTCTTTCTATTGATCTGACACCTCCATTACCTGATTTTCTATTCTTACTTCTCTCTACTTTAATAAAGCACATAGAGAAAAAATAAAGACATTTTCTTTTATAATTTAAATTCAATTTATCGATTGAGCGTAACAAGAACTCGATCGCTTTAGCCACTATTACATAATTGAAATATTGTATACGATGTTTTCAACTGTCAGACTCGCGTTATAATATACGGTGTGCCTCGCTACGCAAATCATATTTAAATTAACTTGGCGCGAGATACTACCGCGTGTCTCTTGATATGTGTATAATTTTGTAGTAGTAGTCAGACAATGTGCGTGTGTATGTTTCCTCATAAATTGATCGACAACTCGTCATCCTCGGTAATTTCATCTCCTCTTTCGTAGAGATACATTCTTCCATCTTTTCAAAAAAAGAAGTCATAGCCAGATATAGTGTATTAAAAATTAATCGCAAAATAAAATCGGATCAATCTCTCGAGATTCTGTTTAAAAATATAAAAAGAAGATAATTTGATTTTATTACATGTGCATAGTTTGCATTTAACATCTTTTTTCCACACAATTAATATATAAAAACTAAAGTATGCCTAAAAGATATGAAAATTTTTAATTATTAAAAATTCGAAATCTATGTGAGAACTGATGTTTGTTGATAAGTTTGAACGATTTAATTATTTAATTATTCTAAAGAGTACACATATCCTTATATAAAATAATGAGCCAAAAAAGTTTCGCGTTTTTGTGTTGCGGACTGTTTCTCTTTATCATTTCGCCATCGAAATCTCAGCAAAGTTCCACCGACAACAAAGAGAAAAGTGATAATTCGATGGTACGAAATGAAGAAGATGCGGATTCTACAACAATCTATAGCGACAAAATAAAAACAATTCGATACGATTTGTGTGAAAATAAGTTTGCCAACAATACGCAATATGTTCACAATCCTGAGAATGATGACCAAATATAGATGAATTCTCACCCCAATTCGACAAATGTCAATCATAAAGAAAATTTTATGTCACAGAAAAATTATGAAAATTTGATCGTAAAGAACGATTCCGTGTCAAATGGTGTCTGTGAAAATTTCAAAGGGAGTAAAGAAATTAACATCGTCCCATATAAAATGTGCCATAATATTACTTGCATTCTGCTCTGTTGTCCTCTTGGCAACAGCTTGAGATTGAATGACAGTAAATGTATTCCAAGAAAAAGTAAATACCGTTTTCCAAATGTGTACAAATCCACAAACGATTCAATGGAGAATGAAAATAAGAGAGTGGATGAATTGTTTCACTTTGCCGTCCACGATTCGTGCTTAAACACGCGACATTTCTTTGGAAACTGGAGATTCAAGAACGAATATAAAATGTTTACCAATGGTTCTATTTATTTATCTTATTATAAAACATTACTTAAATCGACATCATATTGTCTCGCTGTGTTTTTTGAAAGGGTGAACCAGTTTCAAGTGACTTATTGTTTGGAAACTTATAATCAAGTTTTCAGGAGCAAAATGAAATACATATCATCAATTAGATTCGCAATGCATATACATATGGTACATACATACTTAAAATTAATGCGTTTATTATTTTTGGTGCCAATATTTCTAGTGTATTCTATATTGGCAGAACTCCGAAATGTACATGGCTTCATATTGTGCAATTACAGCTTTACGTCATCCGTCCAAATCATAATTGAAGTTGTGAATTTTATAGTTATTGAAACTGAAGAGTCACTTCCCGTCTGTATTACACTTGGTACAGTATATCTAACAATAAATTATATAACTATATACAATCAATGGTCAAGCATAATGTATATTTGCATATTTATTAATCTTTTTAATAACTTGAATATGTAACTTGTCAAAAATATGATTAATAATAAATTAAATTAAAATTTAATGCACTTTAATAATAACTAATCCGAGTTCGCCGCAATATATGTATATATATGTATATATACATATATAATCATCAATAGAAAAAGCTTCCGATGGATGCCGCGTGATTGAACGACGTAATGCCGACGTTTTGCAAACATTGCAAAATTTGCATCTTCAGGGCTGATAGCTCCGATACTGATACTTCTTGAATTGTGATCCTTATATATATTGCGGGAGGTTTTTTATACGGGAAAGTATTCGGGAATAGTATATTGTGTATCAAGTGCGGAAAGTTGACAATTGGTCACGAGTGCGGGGGATGGACGCACGAGCCGAAGGCGAGTGCGATCACCCCACACAAGTGAACAATTGTCAATCCGCACGTGATACACATAATATTTTGTATTACAAGTGCAGGCAAAGTGGCTGTTTCTGCGCGTTTTCTGTGCGCGAGGCGGCCGATTGCACGCCGCCATCTTGCCGCGGCACGGTGGGAGAATAGCCGTGTTCAATACATTGCCTACGGCTTCAGCCGTATACAATGACTTTTAACGCGGCTGAGCCGTAGATAATGGCTTTGAACGCGGCTTATTCACTCACCGCGTCGCCGCTAGATGGCGGCGGGGGAAATCGGCCACTTCCCGCACAGAAAACATGCATCGAAAGTGCCACTTTGCCTGCACGTGTAATACAAAGTATTTTAGTCAATCAGCCTTGGCAGAACATTGGATGGAAACGAGACTCACGGTACGTGTACAATACGACAAAGCAATCAGACTAGCTTCCTCGCAAAGCTATTTCGCCAGGGCACATCGTGAAACCCTAGAAATTTTGAAGCATCCCGACAATCTCAACCGCGACAAAAGTTATCAAACAAACCCGATTGGAATACTTTCCCGTAGATGAAAAACTTCCTGTAATATATATAAGGACCACAACCCAAAAAGACTCAGTATCGGAGCTCTTAGCTCTGAAGATGCCAAGATAAAGCTTAAGATTTGTAGTTTATGTAAAAAATATAAAAAAGGTCGAACCTATGAAGAGTTTATTGAAAAAACTAAATTAAAAAATTTTTCTTATACTAATACAAAGTTTTTAGAGGTTTGATAGAATGGTTCACTTTTTTCACAAATATTAATATGTAAAAATTTCTTCAATCACTGATAAATAATGAATATGGAATCAGATTTTTAAAATTAAAAATGGCAGATCATAATTTCAAAAATTTAATGTTCGTGAATATAACTAGGTAAGAGTTTATTAATAACTTATAATAAATCTGTGAAAAAAAGGATTTTTATCACGTCTCAATTAAAAGTTATATTTTACGGAAAAATGTCTAAAATGCCCTTTTTCGCATCTTTAGATCAATATATCTAAAAAACCTGACGTGATATCTACACAATTTTCGCCAGATTCTTAATCAGCATAAAAAAATCTACAAGAATACGCTTTGAAAATCTCCGAATTTTTTTGTGTGTCAAACATTGTAATTAATTAAATAATACCTAATTACTATGCTATATAAACAGTCGGCTTCTACTGCTTTTATTTCTCGCCACCAGATGTCAGATTCCAATACAATATTGAGTTTTAGAATTTTTATGTCTTGAAATACTATTTAATTTAATATTAGTAGTATCAGTATTCATAAAATTTTGTTATAAACTTATCGTGCAAGAAGTAGAGTAAATCTATTTTTAAAGGAAAAATTGAAAACGTGGAAATTTTGAGTTTCTCCATTTTAGCGCGCGTTTAATGATTAAAATGTTATTTGTTATTATAGCTTTATTTTTATTCATTTTTCAGCTTTCTTCCGTTATTTTTGGTTTATGTCGAAATATTTCTGGCTAAGTATCATGAGTTTTAATATGTGGCAGACATTCAGGTAAATTACCAAGTATTTTATATTTGACTTGCTCCTAAGTTTTATTTGCCTTTACAGTATTGTTTTATAATATTAAACAAAACAAATATTTTGTTACGCTGACGTAAACTTTTTAAAACTAAAAATGGCTTATATTAGATAATAAATATTACATTATTAATTTATAAAATATTTATAAAATATTCCAACGTAGTTTAATTCGCAATAGTGCAACAAATTTTTCTTAAATGTTTTTACAGTTTACAAGCTTGATATTTATATCGCGTTGATCTCTTTTTATGTATAAAATAAGGCAATAGAAAATAATTTTTTAACATAAATACTTTTTGTATTTTAAAACTAAATGAAAATTTAGATTATCTTTGTCTATAAAATATTTATATAAATATTTAACAATTTCTTAATATTGTACAATGTTCTACCGTTTCTTATGGTAATTGAGTGAGGTTTCTGAGAAAAATCTTGATCGAAATCAAACATTAATTTCACTGTTTCACATTAAGATTTCTTTTATCTATACTTACAATTAGTTAAATATGACATATAAATTGTAGAGGATTCTGTTCGTTACAAAAAAATGTCAATCAGAAAAGAAAATCGAAGAAAAACAAGTTTGTGTATTATGCGATTTTTGCGTACGGTTGTCCATTTATACTTGGTATTGTATGTGTCATCGTCGTGGAGTTTGTTTCCGAATATTTGCCAAAAATTTGAGACCAGAATTCAAAATAGAAAATTGCTGGTATCGTGAGAAACGTACGTCTCAGATAATTCCATTAATACTATGTAATTTTACAAGTGTGTGAAACAGTGTAAAAGAACAATGTTAAAAACCTCGATTATTTGCCCCTCGGGTAAATGGATAAAACCTATTCCATACATTTTCCACCGTTTTTGACTATTTCATTCCAATCATACCACCTATACGGGGTATATGATAAGCTAAATTATTATATTAACTATTAAAGCTCAGAACTGAACCTTTAAACACCTTCCATTTATTATCAGATTATTTTAGACTTTTACACCGTGAAAATTCGGGAAGAATCTCAATTCAGTGCATTTCGATTAACGTTAAAAACTAAAAAGTGATCCCGTTTTAACACCTTATTTAGCCAGTCAAACAACTTGCCAAAAATTTTTTCCAGAGTTCTCCGCGGTTTTAGGTGCATTTTTGGTTTGTATTTGTGTGTGGAAAACATATGAAATAGGTTTTATTTATTTTTCCGAGAGGCAAAAAATCGGGATTTTTTAACATTTGTCCTTTAATGACAAAGAAATTAATAATAATAATGAATAATATTAATAATAATAATAATAAATAATAATAAATTTATACTTACAGTTTCAGAAATATTGTATTTTTCCTGGATACAAAGTGCTTGTATTATTAGTAGTATTTGCTTATCCATTTATGCGGCACTGAACATCAAACGTTACGAAAAAAATACAGATTTTCGTCTAACAGATTCGGAAAGCAAGCGGTATAATGACAATAAAAAATGGTAAAGTATTTTGACATTTTTGCATTGTATTTGACATTTGAAAACAATATACTGTGCTCGTTTTTTTCTATTTTGTTTTCTTTTCTTCTTTCTAATATGTAAATTACAAAATCTATATGAGAAGAAAATCATTTATTACTGTAACTTGGATCATGTCTTCCCGAGAAAGTCTGTAATTCTCGAAATGTCACAAATAGTGATAATAAAATTAACTAATATACATTAATGTCATAAAGAAAATTACATTTTTAAAGAATTTTTTTGAACAACTATTTCTTTTTTTCTCCTATTTAAGATTGTAATTTATTCCATTATTTTTCAATTTAATAATGTGATATATAGAATTTATTTTTATTGATAGATGACTAAGTATTAAAATATATTTATAAAAAAATTATATTAAAAACGCCAGTGAATAAAAATTAAAAAACGCGTTTTCTTTTTAATTCGACCAAACTGGCAATGCTTCAGTTATTTAATTACACAACGTTTCGACCATAGGTTTTATTCCTTATCAAGAGTTCGTCCATGGTCGAAACGTTATGTAATTAAATAAATAAAGCATTGCCAGTTTAGTCGAATAAAAAAAACGTGTTTTTTAATTTTAATTCACTGGCGACTTTAATATAATTTTTTTACGAATATATATTGTATTAATATTTAGTCATCTACCAATAAAAATAAATTCTATACATTACATTATTAAATTGAAAAATAATGATGTAAATATATGTATATATATATATATATATATATATATATATACTTGTTTCAGGTTTAATCTATGTATGAAGTTATTTATCGTGATGTTTATCATAATAGGCATAAACTGGATTATGTTTACAATATTTTTTTTTATTACTGATGAATCATTATTAAATAATTATTATGTCTTAGTTAGTGTTTTGTTAGATACTGTGGAGTGTTTCTGCATGTTCATTATATTTGTATGGAAAAAGAAGATTAAATTGATGTTATTGAAACAAGTCGGATACAAAACGAATGCAACATCGACTTGAATATCACAACTAAGAAGACTATGCAGGAAAAATCGAATTCTTGTGGAGAAGAAAACTGTCACGCGAAAGATTCGACCGAAAAGATTGAAATCTAATATTGCGCTATGTAAAATATGTTTTATCTCAGTTTATGAATAAATGATTAATTGCAATTTAATATACCAGATAATACAAACGCACGCTTTGCGCTCGCCATTATGCGTTTTATTTTGTAATTTGTGCGTGCAATTTAACTTTTTAATAATTGTAATTTTATATAATTTTATTTTCTCAACTGTCAAAGTGTTACGTGACAGCTGCCGATTATAATTATAACACACAACGCGAATCAAACATCCAAAGTGACAATACACAGTGTTAATAACATGCTTTTTTTATAGAATTAGACCAACAAAAGCGCGGGCTACATGCGCGCCATTGTCTATTCTTGTTTAATAATTCAAACTGATTTTAACATTCAAACTGTTAATCCTCACAAGGACAGTTGCTCAATGCTAAGCGTTTAATGCTAATGTAATAAATAATTTTATTTAATATTCTATTTACATATATATTTTCATATATGTTATGACATTGCACTTAAAATATTTCGGCAACAAAATGTGAATAGCATATAGTAATCCATCTTAGTATTTTGGTATTGTCAATAAAAAGCGTGTTAATTATTGTCAGTCGAGCTTCGACACACGAGCAAAAAAGATGTAAGTAAAACACTTTGCATACTGTCAAATTCTTTTTTACATGTACAATCGAAATGTGAAAACTATTTTATATGAAAAAATAATTAATAAGTTATTAATTTCTTCAATTAAAATGTAATTACATATATATATCGCGATGCTAAATCTCAAAACGCTTTTTTTTGTGTACATATGTATATGGATGGGTGCGTGGGTGCGTGTGAGGGTGGGTGAGTAAGTTGTAAAATTTTTAAAAATTATATAGTAGCTATCCCTGACAAATTTCAAAAATGTTACTACCAATTTAAAAAAAAACGGTCCATAAATATACGTTTGCATGAGTGGGTATAGGGATATAAAACTTAAGAAAATCCACATCGTCACACTCCCCGAAAAAGAGTGATGGCAAATTTCGCCTATTTTTAAGACTTTAAATTTCAAACTTTTTTTATGGCACACACACAAATAGTACTATTAAATGAAACATTAATTTTAATAAAATTTCAAGATGAGCATAGACACAATTACGGAGATACAAGGGAGAAAGTGATGATTTTTAGTCAGTTTTATGAGAAATTATCACTTTCATTTCTTCATACCTAAAAAACCGTGCCTAATATGCTTATCTTGAAATTTCTCTAGGATTAATGTCTTATCATATAGTACTATTTGGCATAAAAATAAGTTTGAAATTTGAGGTCCCAAAATTCGACCCTATAAACTATAAAAAAATATAGGGTTAAATAATAATATATATAATTACATTTGAGATAAAAATGTTGTGATCGCACTACCCAAACAGAATTATAACTTCAATCGAATCTCCGATCAGTACCATTGTCCGTCAATTAAACGTGAGAATGCTTGAAATTGAACTTTGTACGCATGTGCTTATTTTATGTTTAAACTCCATTGCCACTATTCACGACTCTACTATACTTTCATCTAGAATCACGCTTCAACTGACACATTTGCTAAGACACTTTTGTATTTCATTGACGTATAACGGTCTGCCAAGTTGTGTGGTTACGGTCGCGAGATAAATCTATTGATATACAATTCATCGATCTATCACCGATACTTCAGGATATTTATCATAAAAATATAAAATAGTTTTTGCAACTGCGTAATTAATGTCGTGGTAAGTAATCAAAGATTAAAAATATATAGATAACCATGTAGATAAAATTTTGACGTCATCTTTTCTTTATGTAGATCATAAAAACATGTATTATATATATTTATCTGCATTTTGGATGAAAAAAGTATTATCTTTGCGAAATTATTTAGAATAATGTTCACAGATAACTTGATTTAGAGTCATAGCAATGAAAATATACTTAATTAGTAGAACTTAAGCACTAAACGATAAAAATTTAGAAATAAAAGTATAGATCTATTTTTATATTTCTTTTATAATTTACTTTTTTATAATTATATTTACATAAACGGTTTTAAAAATAATATTTCCTGAAAGTTGTTTTGATAAATTGTCGTATAATTTCATGTTTTATATAGGTATATTTAAAACAAAATCAACTTTATCTTATCTAACAATAAAATAAATTTACATACACATATTTTCATCTCATCTTCATCTGACTAATTTTAAAATTATAAGCATAACACTGATAATAAGAGAGAAATTGATTAATTAACAGACTGACTGATTTGATTTAATTGCATGTAAGTCAAGCTTTGTACATAAAATAAAGAAATGTGTAAATGGAAATTTGCACATTGCTTTTGCACCATATTATTTCACTAATTAGAATAATTTCTTAATTATGATCTTCTCATAGAGAAAATTAAATGGTAATCAAGCAATGTGCAAGTTAAGCGTTCTCTATGAGGAAGTCATAATTGAAAAATCATCCTAATTAGCGATATAATATGATGAGGAAACAATATGTGCAAATTTCATTTGCACAATTTTTTACATAAAATATTTTTAAAAATGTTAAATTATATTTAAATATATCTTTTAAATGTAAATTTTTACATATTTTAAATATAATATTATTTTAAAATATTCAAAATTTATGAAAATTTTTAGAGAATAAAAAAGTAGTTTAAAAAAAAAATACATTTTTAAAAATAAATTGTTTGTTTGTAAAAATGTAAAAATACATTTGTGAAATTGTGATTTTATAAACATTTCCGTCAAAACTTTTCTTATTAGTGTTGGACAATTTATTATAAAACATTAGGTACACTGAGAAATTATGAGATTAACATGTGCTATATAAGTTGTTTTATCCCTTTCTAAAAAAATCGTTTAATCAAGTGTCAAAAAAAGAAAAAAAGTTTTCTAGAAAACAGCTTAACTGTTGATCTAAAAACCAAAAGAAAAAAACACGAATTAGAGATTAATTGAGATTAATAAAATATTATTGTAAACCATCCGTTGACATTTTAATTGCAGTGCAAATGTAGAATAAATTTGAGGGAGCAAAAATTTATAAGCGCAAATTTTTACGTTGCTATTTATTAAACATGATTTTCAATTTACGTATATTACAAAAATATAAAATTTAAATTTGAATAATGACAATTTAAAATTGATTAACACAAAATGAGAATAGAATGATTAATGTGCTTGTAAATTGTGTTTTTGTTTCTGTGGTCTTACAATGATTAATATATCAGCTGGTATTGCAACGATCTAATTATGAAATCGTTGCATAATGTTTTCTAGACTTCTAAGATAATAATTTTTGCGTGAAAAATTTGCGCATTTTATGCATATAAATTGCGTACGATATTTGCCTGAGTTTGGCATGGGGGATATGTTTAAACATACATATTTCACGCAAATGATTAGCTTATGTATTATTTGATACACCAGCAAATCACGTGCAAATGGATATGAAGTTGCCAAAAATATGCCTGTGATGTGATAGTGCGTGCAATATGCTTGTTGAATATGCTCATTTTGCATGCTTATAATGAGATGAGATCGCGCGCAAAATGTGTTAGCTTTTGCTATCATTATGATGACGCACTAGAATAAATAAGGTTTTGCTTGCGCAGTACGAGCAACTTGTGTATGTTCAATGCGGTTAGGTATTTACGCGTAAAATGTTTTCTGGGTTTCTGCTTGCAAATGCTTGGCAATAATTGCGAATGCATAATTAATTAATGCGATCAGTAATTGCTAGCAATTTAAATTGAATACTTCACGTTTTCAAAGATATAGTTGTAGATATTTTCTCATAGAAATACACATACATTTAGCTCCAGAAAAAAAGTTCAATCTAGCTTACTTTGATTTTGTTTCTAGCCTACTTTAATTTTTCTGTTTGCAGGTTAATAAAAACCAATCGAAAGGATATAGTACGTTAATAATATAATTGCATCATTTTTAGCTTAAACTTGCATATTTTACTCTATTTTTTAATAATATATACTTATATCTCCCGATAAAAAAACATGTCTGTTTTTTTACAATTTATTAAATCGATCTCTATAATCGACGTGATGAAATTAGTCATGTATCTGGCATTATTCTGCAATTTTTCCAATGCAGTAACAGACGTAAAAAATCAGCTACATGCATTTCCCGAGAAAATATCGTGGATCAACTGGGAGCAATCGAGAGATTTTAAATTCAATCCCGATGACACTTTCGACACGGTAAACATTTGTTTATATTCAATATAAACTAATAACAAAATTGAAATTTTTATTTGAATTGTAAAATATGAAAAATTAAAATTTTTATTAATTTAATTAGATTATTTTCTTCAGAAAATGATCAAAAATGATCTTATCTTCCTACACTTTTGTTTATAGGTATATCGAAATTGAAATTTACATTACAAATTTCTAATAATTACATCTACATATGATAATATTAATATCTTTATCTTTTTGTTTAAAAATTTTAATATTTGATTCAATTGTTAGTATCGTTTATTTGCTATTCAACTATTATCTTTTTCTTATTTTAAAACATATAATAAATATAATACATATACACAATTTTTTATTATATCAATAATATCTATTTTAGTCTGCTTAAAAATTCGTGTAAAAATAAACATTTATTATTATAATTGTAACATATCATTAAAATCATTTCAACTGATTCAAAAGGTAAACATAAAAAATAATTTAATTTATTAAAAATTATTTCTTAAATAATTCTATAATAAATAATTATTCTATTATGTTTTTCTCACACTTTTATCAGTCAAAGAAATCCCACTTTATAATCTCTAAAAATCACACCATATGTTTAATTAGAAAATTAATATCTCTATTTGACTTTACTCTGACCTTTTAAGTTAGATATTTATGCGTAATTGCAAAATTATGCAAAATAGAAAATGATGCAAAATTATTATTAATCCATTCTGCATATTTAAATTGTTTGAGAAATTTGCTCTACTTATTTATTTAAAAAATAAATAGAGTACGGAGATTTTCGCATAAATTTATTTTATTTTTTTTTTTTTACTTATTCTCTAGGTGAAAATGATAAGAAGAGAGGGTTATCCTGCAGAAACTCATGTTGTAACGACGGAGGATGGTTATCTCTTGGTATTACATCGTATTCCAGGTGGCAATGACTCTCTACCTGTATTATTGCAACACGCTGTGTTATGCACCTCCGCCGACTGGATCATTCTTGGTAAAGGCAAAGCACTCGGTGTGTACAATTCTTTAATCAATCCTTCAAATATATTCCGAAATTATGATTTTGATATACAAATTTAAATTCCAACGGGCTAGTAAGAGTCAATCAAGGATGATACTGCATCGGTTTAAAAAAAAATTAATTTTTCACTCAAATTAATTTGTTATGCACAAGGTATAAATTTGTTTTAGTGCAACATCAAATAATTAAATAAATCCCAATATACAAAATTTATTTATTTTTATAAATTATTTTAATAAATACCAATAAATATTAATTTTTATTAAAATTGACACGCTATCAACTATTTGGCTTTTATTAACACGTAGAAATTTAATTTTAACTTTTTTGTATCATATCTTTAACATTCTATATTATTTATTTACAATTGTTTATTTAACTTATCAGAAAATATAATGATTGAACTGCAATTCAATTCGTAATTTTAATTTATAATTATTAAAAATATTAACAATAAATATATGAACTTATATATGTAAGAGAATATTATATGAGAAGATACAAGTTATGTAATAAATTGCAAACGATGTCTTTTTGCATTCTAGCTTATCTATTAGCGGATCAGGGATATGATGTTTGGTTAGGCAATTTTCGTGGTAATACCTATTCAAGGGCGCATATTTCTCTGTCTCCGTTGGAATTAAAATTTTGGGATTTTAGGTACTAACATAAAATGAAAATAATGATGGTTTGAAAATAATAAATTTATACTGATGTTGCACATTTAATTTGCCAAACAAAATAGAAAGACATATAATATGCTTACTTATATAGCCTATAAAGTGTAATAAAAGTAAACATGTTTAACTTTTATAAATCACTATTGTATATACCTATGTATATATGTATATATACTTAATTATTTTAAGTGACATTTATCCAGAAAGCCTCTTTATACAATAAATATAGAGTATATTCTCTCTATATAAGTATAAAGATGCAGACTGATACAATTGTCTTTTTGTCAAACATATAAATATACTTCTTTAATATATATATATCTAGTAATATTTTTTAAATATATTATATTTTTAATATAATTTATCAAATAATACGAAATGAAAAGATTAAAGGACGAGCGTGAAATACAGGTGTTAAGTATATAATTTCTTTAAAGCGAATTGATATAGATTGTCAAATCAATTTAATACATAGTATACACACTTTTCGACTTACTAAGTCTTTCTCAGTGTGAGTTACATAATAAAATAAAAAACATAATTAAATTTGCAATAACATAAGCGCACATTCAATGATTTTATGTTAATATTACAGTGAATTCGTGTTGATTGTGAGTGTCATCGAAATCGTAAAGTGAACAATATAATTATGCTTGAAATGTACTATACTAGAAGTTTTCAACAGTATCAAAAAGCAATTTCGTCGTGTGATGGCGAAAAGCTGAACTTTTTTGTTGTTAAAATTCTTCTAAAATCGTGGTGGTAACTCTCAAGTTCACAAAACAAATGTCCTTATTTAACTGACACTGAGGAAGACTTAGTAAGTCGAAACGTATGTGTACTATGTATTAAATTGATTTGACAATCTATATCAATTTGCATTAAAGAAATTATATACTTAACACCCGTATTTCACGCTCGTCCTTTGGTCTTTTCATTTCGTATTATTTGCATTGCAAACACACGAGCCTATTTACTTGTATTATTTATAATTTATCAAATTTTAATACGAAGAATCAGCAAATCTATATTGGCAAAAACAAAGATATTTTGAAAATAATGTATTTTATTTGGAAATTTTGCCAAAAGGAGAAGAAATTTATTGTTTAACAATAGATCAATTTATATAGTCTATCTATGTAAAATACTCTATCATACATATAAATTTCTATGTATTTATTATTTATATATATATATATATATTTTGTGGCAGTAAGATAATTAAATATTTCACCAGCTTTCACGAAATGGGTATCTATGATTTACCCGCGATGATTAAATTTATCACAAATATGAAATCGCAACCATTGCACACGTACGTTGGTCATTCGATGGGTACAACCAGTTTTTATATAATGGCATCGGAGCGTCCGGAAATCGCACGAATGGTACAAAAGATGATTAATTTTGCGCCGGCAGTCTTTCTTGATCAAGTAGAAAGTCCGATAAAATATATTTTTCCTTTCTGGAAAGAAATAAAGGTAAAATAATGTATGCAAATACAAATTAGAAAATCATTTATTATATTTATAGTTATTATTATTAAATACCGTATTATATATATATATATATATATATATATATATATATATATATACAAGGTGTCCGGTAACTAACGGACCAATGATTAAGGGCGGATTTTTTAGCCAATTTGGAGACGATTTTTCCTTAACAAAAATGTTGAGAAGTCAATAATTTTCGAGTTATAAGCGACTGAAAAAATGGGTTTTTTGAAAACTAAACGTTTTGAAGTTAAAAGTCTAACATAATTACATTCTTTAGTTAATTTTTAGGTAGAGTTTACTATAATAAAATTTTAATTTGAGGCTTAGTTATAAAAATACATAATAACAAATATTGAAAAGTTGTAAAAAATGATGATCTTTTTCGACATTTTCGCTGAAAAAAAATCGTTCCCAAATTGACCAAAGAATCCATTTGTAATCGTTGGTCCGTTAGTTACCAAACACCCTGTATATATATATATAATAACTGTTCAAAACAATATCCCTTTGTCGAAACAAAAAATTCATAAACGACTCTTTAATAGGGATCTAATGTTTTGTAATTATGAAATATAAATAAGAGATATCATGATAAAAATGTGCTTAAAATCATAATTTAAGAAACATATTTTTTATAATAATCAAATATGTCAAGACCGCCAGAAAAATTAAAAATAAAGTAATACACAATCTCTTCTCGACCGTACTGGCAAAAAATTTATTGATACTAATCACTACGTTTCGACCATAGTTTTTGGTCCTTTTCAAGTGAATTGCGAACAATAATTATATTCCTGAGATGTCAAAGAGAGAACATAGTGTCGAATTTAACATATGTCTAGTACATTGAAAGTTAGTTTAAATCAGTTAGTATAAATCTGTTCAATGTACTAGACGTGTGTTAAATTCGACACTATGTTCTCTCTTTGACATCTCAGGAATATAATTATTGTTCGCAATTCACTTGAAAAGGACCAAAAACTATAGTCGAAACGTGTAGTGATTAGTATCAATAAATTATTTGTCAGTACGGTTGAGAAAAGATTGTGTATTATTTTATATTTTTTATATTTCTACGATTTAAATTAAAATGAAATTTACTTTTCAAATTTCAAAATTAATATACAATAAGATAACATTTTCAATACATAGCTACATATAAACTTATATATATTTATATATGATTATATATGAGCAATTTTTTTATTTTTTAAAGTTTTACTTTTTCTATTAAAAAAATTATTTTCTGAATTACTTTTTAATTATCATAAATTAGAAATACATATATATGTATTATATCACGAAAAAGAATTTTTTATTACAGATGTTCATACGGTTATTTTTTCACGATGAATTTTTGCCGCAAAACGATTTGTTGAGATTTATTTCAAAATATATTTGCCCTCAGAATTTTATCACGCAACAGTTCTGTGCCGATCCAATATTTCTGATCTGCGGAAATGATCAAGAACAATTTAACTACGTGAGTAATGATTTCTCATCGAAATACAACACCGAGTTGAATCTTCGATCGTGGCATTTCATTATTTTAAATACAATTTTGCTTCAAATTTAACTTTGTCTATATGTCCTTGTTCTCTATTCAGACTCTTCTGCCTGTAATCCTGGGCGTCGATCCGGCCGGCACCTCGATTAAAACTATTCTACATTTCATTCAGTTAAGCCAGGCAAGCAAGTTTCGTCGATACGATTACGGTCGCGAGAAAAATCTGTTGATATACAATTCGTCGGAACCCCCGGATTATAATCTAACAAATACCACATTACCTATCGCATTGTTTTATGCTCCTGGAGACTTGCTAGTTAACAGCGTGGTAAGTAACGGAGAACTACTTGTTAATAAAATGTATAGCAGAAAGAAAGAGAGAGAGAAAATTAATTAATTTAAGAAAAATAAGAATTTTTTGTTTACACACAGTTGTAAAATTTGTGTTAAATTTAACAGATATCACATGTTCATAGAAATTTTTGTGTTAATTTAACATGATATGGATATGTCAAATGGAGACAAAAACTTTAATATGTTAAAACAATATGTTAAATTCGCACATGAATGTATTAAATAATTAACACAAACATTTTAACGGGGACCGTTTTTAACCACAAAACACAAATTTTTCTACTGTGTGTGTCTGTGTAGAAATATAATAATTTTCTAATAATTCACAAGATCATTTTTTTCAAGAATATGAAAAAACTATATCGCACATTACCCAACGTAATCGACTTATATGAAGTACCATGGCACAAATTCAATCACGTCGATTTTATATGGGCCAAAAATACTCCAAAACTCGTGTACGTCTTTGTGAGAATTAACAGTTTGAATATTATTGAAAATAAAAATAAGTAAAATTAGAATCATTAAACAAGAATAAACAATGGCGCGCATGTAGCCCGCGCTTTTGTTGGTCTAATTCTATAAAAAAAGCATGTTATTGACACTGTGTATTGTCACTTTGGCTGTTTGATTCGCGTTGTGTGTTATAATTATAATCGGCAGCTGTCATGTAACACTTTGACAGTTGAGAAAATAAAATTATATAAAATTACAATTATTAAAAAGTTAAATTGCACGCACAAATTACAAAATAAAACGCATAATGGCGAGCGCAAAGCGTGCGTTTGTATTATCTGGTATATTACATTGCAATTAATCATTTGTTCATAAACTGAGATAAAACATATTTTACATAGCGCAATATTAGATTGCAATCTCTTTGGTCGAATCTTTCGCGTAACAGTTTTCTTCTCCACAAGAATTCGATTTTTCCTGCATAGTCTCCTCAGTTGTGATATTCAAGTCGATGTTGCATACGTTTTGTATCCGACTCGTTTCAATAACATCAATTTAATCTTCTTTTTTTATACAAATATGATGAACATGCAAAAACACTCCACAGTATCTAACAAAACACTAACTATAACATAATAATTATTTAATAATGATTCATCAGTAATAAAAAAAATATTATAAACATAATTCAGTTTATGCCCATCAAGAGACACGGTAGTGTCTCGCGACCAGTTAAGGGCGTAGCGGAGACACCGTGTATCTTAACGCGAGTCGGACATTTGAGTCTTTATAATATATCGAATCCTCAATAATGGCTGAAGCAATCGAGTTTATACTAGACTTAATCGATAGATTGAGTTCGAATTATATAATAAAAGTGTCTTTATTTCTGCTCTACGTGATTTGTAAGCAGAGATATATAAATGCAAAGTCAAAATATGAAAAATTTCTATTAAGAAACGTCCCCGTCATCATTATCATCATCATTATCATCATTATCATCATCATTATCATCATCGACCACGCATACATAGTAGTATCGTGCTACACGTATTCACACGTATACAACACATGCGCACACATATATCACACGTACACAACACATGCAAGATGCATGTAGTGGTAATTTTGTCCATCTCGCACGTTTTACAACAGATGGCGATAGTGGCGCTCCACCATATCGGCAGCGTGCGGGGTTATGTTGGCTAACTCTCTCTCTCTCTCTCTCTCTCTCTCTAGAGAATCTCTCTCTCTCTAGAGAGAGAGCTCTCTCTCTCTCTGACACACACAGAGGACACAGATACAGACTCAACTCTCTCTCATCTCGACAGAGAGACTAGACACACATCTAGAGTCTAGCAGATCTCTATATCTCTCTCTCGATATCTCTCTCTAGCCTTATCTCTCTCTCTCTCTCTCTCTATCTCTCTCTCTCTCTCTCTCCTCCTCTTCTCTCTCTCTCTCTCTCTCTCTCTCTCTCTCTCTCTCTCTCTTTCTCACACACACACGCACACACACACACACTCTCTCATTCTCACTCACTCACTCACTGTTCGTCTTGTGTACTTATTTAGTACATTCATGATTAAACATCTATATGCATTAATGTGAAATTTACTTACAATTAGTTTACTTGAAATATTCAATCTCTAAAGTGTTTATCTTATAAGATAGACAAAAAAATCTGAGTAAATAATAAGAAAAAAAAACAAGGATTATTATTGTCATAATTTTTTATCAATTAAGTACTCTCAACTATCCAATAATTAAATAAATACGTACAAATGTGCGCGCGTGTACACACATACACATATTGATATTAAAGAGATTGAAGGAGAGGAAGGAGAAGATAAAAATTTAAATATTCACATATATTTTCAAATATTATATATGAATTTATAGTTTACATATCTAATTAATAATGAATTTCTAATTATATTAAACATATCAAAATAAAGACATACATGTATTTATCAAATGAATAAAATTATTGAATACAGACTTAAAAAATTTATTAAACATAGACTTAAAAAATTAATTAATTAAACATATTCCAAATTTAGAAAAAATAAACTTTATTTATATATGCAACAGCTTTTTAAACTAAATTTTTAAATTCTATTTTATATTAGACAATTATCTCAATCAACATCTACGTCCACATTAGCTGCACTGCAGACTACCTCTACAGCCACATTATCTGCTCCGCGGATATAGCGTTATGCCAATACGATACATTACATGTACTTACTTACTTGCCTTTACTGTACCAACTCTTGTTCTTTCCACGTAATCATGTTTTTACAGTTATCGTTTGCTGTATATCTTCCAGCAAACTTTATTTCGTGTGAAGTGTATTTAATTAATTAAATCTCTGCGAAAGATTGAGAAGATGAAGGGATAATTCAAACTATGAAGACATGGTTACATGGAAAAGACAAGAGTTGATACAATAATAAAGACATACATGTATTTGTATCCTGCTGGCATAAGGTTATAGAAGTTGATTGAGATTGAAAAATAATAATGAAAATAATAAAAAAAATAAAGACACATGTATTTGTATCGTGCTGGCATAAAGTTATAAAAGTTGATTGAGATTGAAAAATAATAATAAAAATAATTAAAAAAAGGAAATATTCAATCATCATTTAAAAGCATATTTGAAATCTGTAGAATAAACAGTTTTTGCAAAAAATGTGGAGCATTTGAGCTCTAGTAAGTCTAAAAATAAATGTAAACATCAATTAATAATAACTGATGTTATATATATATTATATATATAAACCAATTTGTTGCAATATTCACTATAAAAGGTTGTAAGGGTAAGATGGCTAAAAGTGAATAATTTAAAAGATAGTTAACATAATTTTACATAAACTGAAATATTTCATAAAATAAAATATTTGTAATATTTCGAAGTTTATGTAAGATTATGTAAAAATTATACCTTTACAACTTTTTATAGTAAATATTGCGAGGAATCGATTTATATGAGAAAAATTAAGGTAATTCTATTTTGAAAATATAAGTGACCTTTAAATAACCTTGAAAATCGCCGTTTAGGAAAAAGTCTGTGTCAACTTTTTCTTTTTCGAAATCCTGCAACTTTTATCTAAATTTAATAGAAAATGTATAAAAAATGCTCGACATTAGTACACACACACACACACACACACATATGGGTAAATTTATATAAATAGGGTGCTTTAGGAGGAATGATCAGGATTCTAGGATATGATTGTACACATCATTTTAAGCAAAGAAGTTTAGATAAACATGTTTAATAATTGTTCTATTCCGGTCATAAAAATATACAAAAATGAATGATATAATCTCTAAAAACTCACCTTTAAAAAAAGGTAAAAAAAGGCGACCAGTTAAGGGCACGCCATTAACAAAAATTATCCATTGCAAACCCATGTAGAATCCTATCCTATTGCAAACCCATGTAGAATCCTATAAAAAATTAATCATTGCAAACCCATGTAGAATCCTAGGCAAAATTAACCATTGCAAACTCATGTAGAATTGTATTAAAAATGATCCATTGCAAACTTATGTAGAATCCTACATTGCAAACCCATGTACAATAGAATTGTATGAAAAATTATCGATTATAAATTCATGTACAATCGTAACAAAAGTAATGAAATAAAAAAAAAATTGCGCCAAGTGAAAGTAGAAACTTGTACCAGTGGAAAATTAAAGTTGCAGACATATATAGAGTCGTATAATGAATCAGTAAAAATTTAAATTTGCAAATGTAGAATCGTACCATAAAAAAACTTATCTTTTAAAAAAAAAGATAAACAAGATGCCAAGTCCATGCGCCATGTAAAAAGAAATAAAAAAATTTTAGTTAAAAAAACTGGGAGCGCTGCTAAATAATATTCTAACAATATTAAAATTAAATTGTTACTTTTAAACTCATTACAGTTAAAATATGTTTTGTGTTTAAATTAATTAATGTTACTTTAAGGTGCATTGTAATTTTGAAACTTAGCAGCGCGCCCAGTTTTTTTAACTAAAATTTTTTTATTTCTTTTTCACATGGCGCATGGACTTGGCATCTTGTTTATCTTTTTTTTTAAAAGATAAGTTTTTTTATGGTACGATTCTACATTTGCAAATTTAAATTTTTACTGATTCATTATACGACTCTATATATGTCTGCAACTTTAATTTTCCACTGGTACAAGTTTCTACTTTCACTTGGCGCAATTTTTTTTTTATTTCATTACTTTTGTTACGATTGTACATGGGTTTATAATCGATAATTTTTCATACAATTCTATTGTACATGGGTTTGCAATGTAGGATTCTACATAAGTTTGCAATGGATCATTTTTAATACAATTCTACATGAGTTTGCAATGGTTAATTTTGCCTAGGATTCTACATGGGTTTGCAATGATTAATTTTTTATAGGATTCTACATGGGTTTGCAATGGATAATTTTTGTTAATGGCGTGCCCTTAACTGGTCGCCTTTTTTTACCTTTTTTTAAAGGTGAGTTTTTAGAGATTATTATGATAAACATCACGATAAATGATTTCATACATAGATTAAACCTGAAACAAATATATATATATATATATATATATATATATATAGGACTTTAAATTTCAATAAAATTTCAAGATGAGCATAGACACGGTTACGGAAATACAAGAGGGAAGTGATGATTTTTAGTCATTTTTATGAGAAATTATCACTTTCATTTCTTCATACCTAAGAAACCGTACCTAATATGCTCATCTTGAAATTTCTCTAAAATTAATGTCTCATTATATCACTATTTGGCATAAAAATAAGTTTGAAATTTGAGGTTTCAAAATTCGACCCTATAAACTATAAAAAAAATATAAGGTTGAATAATAATATATATAATTACATTAGAGGGATAAAAATGTGTTGTGATTGCAATACCAAACAGAATTATAACTTTGATCGAATTTCCGATCAGCACTATTGTCCGTCGATTAAACGTGAGAATGCTTGAAATTGAACTTTGTACACATGTGCTTATTTTTTGTTTAGACTCAATTACCATTATTCACGACTCTACTATACTTTCATCTAGAATCACGCTTCAACTGACGTATTTGTTAAGACACTTCTGTATTTCATTGACGTATACCGGTCTGCCAAGTTGTGTGATTACGGTCGCGAGATAAATCTATTGATATACATTTATCGATCTATCACCGATACTTCAGGATATTTATCATAAAATATAAAATAATTTTTGCAACTGCGTAATTAATGTCGTGGTAAGTAATCAAAGATTAAAAATATATAGATAACCATGTAGATAAAATTTTGGCGTCATCTTTTCTTTATATAGATCTCATAAAAATATGTATATTATATATATTTATCTGCATTTTGGATGAAAAAAAGTATTATCTTCGCAAAATTATTAGAATAATGTTCACAGATAACTTGATTTAGAGTCATAGCCATGAAAATATACTTAATTAGTAGAACTTAAGCACTAAACGATAAAAATTTAGAAATAAAAGTATAGATCTATTTTTATATTCCTTTTATAATTTACTTTTTTTATAATTATGTTTACATAAACGGTTTTAAAAATAATATTTTCTGAAAGTTGTTTTGATAAATCGTCGTATAATTTCATGTTTCATATAGGTATATTTAAAACAAAATCAATTCTATATCTTATCTAACAATAAGATAAATTTACATACACATATTTTCATCTCATCTTCATCTAGCTAATTTTAAAATTAAAAGCATAACACTGATAATAAGAGAGAAATTGATTAATCGACTGACTGACTGATTTGATTTAATTGCATGTAAGTCAAGCTTTGCACATAAAATAAAGGAATGTGTAAATGGAAATTGCATTTAATACAAAATTATCTTTATTTTATCTAAGATAAATTTACATATTTTTATCTCATCTTTATCCAATTAATTTCAAAATTTTTTAAATACAACATTGATAAGAAGAGAGAGATTGATTAATTAACTGACTGACTAATTTAACTTAATTGCATGTAAGTCAAGCATAAAATTAATTGTACATAAAATTAAAAAACATTTGTAAATGGAAATTTGCATATTGCTTTTGCACCATATTATTTCACTAATTAGAATAATTTCTTAATTAGAATCTTCTCATAGAAAAAATTAAATGGTAATCAAGCAATGTGCAAGTTAAGCGTCCTCTATGAAGAAGCCATAATTGAAGAATCATACTAATTAGCGATATAATATGATGAGGAAACAATATGTGCAAATTTCCATTTGCACAATTTTTTACATAAAATATTTTTGAAAATGTTAAATTATATTTAAATATATCTTTTAAATGTAAATTTTTACATATTTTGAACATAATATTATTTTAAAATATTCAAAATTTTATGAAAATTTTTAGAGAATAAAAAAGTAGTTTAAAGAAAAAAAATACATTTTCAAAAATAAATTTTTTGTTTGTAAAGATGTAAAAATACATTTGTGAAATTATGACTTTATAAACATTTCTGTCGAAACGTTTCTTATTAGTGTGTTGGACAATTTATTGTAAAACATTGGGTACAGTGAGAAATTAAGAGATTAACATATGACGTATGACTTGTTTTATCCCTTTCTAAAAGAAAACGTTTAATAAAGTGTTAAACAAAGAAAAAGAATTTAAAAACACGAATTAGAGATTAATTGAGATTAATAAAATATTATTGTAAACCATCCGTTGACATTTTAATCTCAGTGCAAATGCAGAATAAATTTGAGGGAGCAAAAATTTATAAGCGCAAATTTCTACGTTGCTATTTATTAATCATAATTTTCAATTTACGTATATTACAAAAATATAAAATTTAAATTTGAATAATGACAATTTAAAATTGATTAACACAAATGAGAATAGGATAATTAATGTGCTTGTAAATTGTGTTTTTGTTTCTGTGGTCTTACAATGATTAAAATATCAGCTGGTATTGCAACGATCTAATTATGAAATCGTTGCATAATGTTTTCTAGACTTCTAAGATAAATTTTGCGTGAAAAATTTGCGCATTTTATGCACATAAATTGTGTACGATATTTGCCTGAGTTTTGCATGGAGGATATGTTTAGACATACATATTTCACGCAAATGATTAGCTTATGTATTATTTGATACACCAGCAAATCACGTGCAAATGGATATGAAGTTGCCAAAAATATGCCTGTGATGTAATAGTGCGTGCAATATGCTTGTTGAATATGCTCATTTTGCATGCTTATAATGAGATGAGATTGCGCGCAAAATGTGTTAGCATTTGCTATCACTATGATGACGCACTAGAATAAATAAGATTTTGCTTGCGCAGTACGAGCAACTTGTGTATGTTCAATGCGGTTAGGTATTTATGCGTAAAATGTTTTCTGGGTTTCTGCTTGCAAATGCTTGGCAATAATTGCGAATGCATAATTAATTAATGCGATCAGTAATTGCTAACAATTTAAATTGAATGTTATACTTCACATTCTTAAAGATATAACTGTAGGTGTTTTTCCACAGAAATACATATACGAGTACATTTGGCTACGAAAAGAAAAGAGTTCAATCTACACTACTTTAATTTTATTTCTAGCCTACTTAAATTATTAGTTTTTTTCTGTTTTTTGCAAGTTAATAAAAACCAATCGAAAGAATTCTAACAACAAATATAATGCGTAAAAAAAATAATTGCATCATATTTAGCCTAAACTTTCATGTTTTGTCTTATTTTTTAGTAATATATACTTATATTCCGATAGGTAAACATGTCTATTCGTGTACAGTTTATTAAATCAATTTTTATAATCGACACAATGAGATTAATCATGTATCTGGCATTATTCTGCAATTTTTCCAATGCACTAGAAGACGTAAAAAACCAGCTACATGCATTTACCGAGAAAATATCGTGGATCAACTGGGAGCAATCGAGAGATTTTAAATTCATTTCCGATGACACTTTCGACACGGTAAACATTTGTTTTTATTCAATATAAACTAATAACAAAATTAAAATTTTTATTATTTGAATTGTAAAATATTAAAAATTAAAATTTTTATTATTTTAAAACCACAATCTACACTTCATTCCTCTCGACCAATAGAGCCAAACGCGATGTTATTGCGACAATTAAGAAAAAAAGAAAATTTGGAAACTAAGGAATTTGAATCCTATGGTTGGGGTCTCAGAAATTCCCCTTTTTCCTTCTCTTAACATCCTCTGTAAAGAAATAAGCGAGAAAAATATTGGTCCTAAAGTCGGCTGAATCGGGAATCAAACCCGATTTATCAATGAATTCTGCATATTTAAATTGTTTGAGAAATTTGCTCTATTTATTTAAAAAATAAATAGGATACGCAAATTTTCGCATAAATTTATTTCAACTTTGCATTTTTTTTTTACTGATTCTTCTAGATAAAAATGATAAAAAGAGAAGGTTATCCTGCAGAAACTCATGTTGTAACAACAGAAGATGGTTATCTCTTAGTATTACATCGTATTCCAGGTGGCAATAACTCTCTACCTGTATTATTGCAACACGGTATGTTATGCACTTCCGCCGACTGGATCATTCTTGGCAAAGGCAAAGCACTCGGTGTGTACAACTCTTTAATCAATCCTTCAAATATATCCCGAAATTATATTTTTGATATACAAATTTAAATTTCAACGGGCTAGTAAAAACTAAACAAGGTTGATACTGTATTGGTTTAAAAATTAATTTTATTGAAACTGATTTGTTATGCACAAGGCATAAATTTTTTTGGTGTAACACCAAGTAATTAAATAAATCCCAATACGAAATTTATTTATTTTTATAAATTATTTTAATAAAAAAATACCAACAAAAATTTATTTTTATTAAAACCGACACATCAACTATTTGGCTCTTATTAACACGTAGAAATTTAGTTTCTTTTAATTAAAATCCTTCTTATTAATTTATTAAATGTATCATATATTTAACGTTCTATATTATTTATTTACAATTATTTATTTAACTTATCAGATAATATAATGATTGAACTGCAATTCAATTTGTAATTTTAATTTATAATTATTAAAAATATTAACACAATAAATATATGAATTTATATATGTAAGAGAATATTATATGAGAAAATACAAGTTATGTAATAAATTTTGCAAACAATGTTTTTTTGCATTCTAGCTTATCTATTAGCGGATCAAGGATATGATGTTTGGTTAGGCAATTTTCGTGGTAATACCTATTCAAGGGCGCATATTTCTCTGTCTCCGTTGGAATTAAAATTTTGGGATTTTAGGTACTAACATAAAATAAAAATAATGATGGTTTGAAAATGATGAATTTATACTGATGTCGCACATTTAATTTGGCATCAAACAAAGTAGAAAGACTTATATAATATGCTTATACTTATATAGCCTATAAAGTCTAATAAATATAAATATATTTAACTTTTTTAAATCACTATTGTGTATGTAGGTACATATTTAATAATTTTAAAGAACATTTATCCAGAAAGACTCTTTATACAATAAATATATACAGAGTATATTCTTTCTATATAAGTAAAGACGCAAACTGATACGAGTGTCTTTTTGTCAGACATAAATATACTTTATGTATATATATATATATATATATATAAAGTATATTTAAATGTCTGACAAAAAGACACTCGTATCAGTCTGCATCTTTACTTATATTGAAAGAATATACTCTGTGTATATTTATTGTATAATTAATACAATGTAATTATATATATATATATATATATATATATATATATTATATATATATATATATATATATTATATATATATATATATATACATATATATATACATATATACAATATAATATTTTTAAATATATTATATTTTTTAATATAATTTATCAAAATTTTAACACAAAGAATCAGCAAATCTGTATTGGCAAAACAAAGATATTTTGGAAATAATGTATCTTCAGAAATTTTGCCATAAAAAAAATTTATTTTTTGACAATAAATCAATTTATGTAGTCCATCTATGTAAGATACACTACTATACATATACATTTCTATGTATTTATTATTTATATATATTTTTTGTGACGGTAAGGTAATCAAATGTTTTACCAGCTTTCACGAAATGGGTATCTATGATTTACCCGTGATGATTAAATTTATCACAAATATGAAATCGCAACCATTGCACGCGTACGTTGGTCATTCGATGGGTGCAACCAGTTTTTATGTAATGGCATCAGAGCGTCCGGAAATCGCACGAATGGTGCAAAAGATGATTAATTTTGCGCCGGGAGTCTTTCTTGACAAAGTAGAAAGTGCATTAAAATATATCAATCCTTTCTTGAGAGAATTTAAGGTAATATAAAATATGCAAATATAAATTAGAAAATTATTTATTATTTATAGTAATTATATATTATTAAATTAAAAATTAATTTATTATTTATTATTATTAAATTGTTTATTATTAAGTAACGTATTAATAATATATACTGTTCAAAACAATGTCCCTTTATTGTCGAAACAAAAAATCTATGAACGTCTCTTTAATAGGTAATATCTAATGTTTTGTAATTATCAAATACGTAAAAAAATGTTGCGACAACAATGTGTTTAAAATTATAATTTAAGAAATATATTTTTATATTTTTACGATTTAAAAAATAAAACTTTTATCTGAAGTTTCAAAATTAATATACAATAAGATAACATTTCCAATACATTGTTACATATACATATATCTATACATTTATATATGATTAAATGTATAAGCAGTTTTTTATTTCTTAAAACTTTATTTTTACTATAAAAAAATACAAAAATTATATTTCGAATTATTTTTTAATTATTATGAATTAGAAATACATATATATGTATTATATCCCAAAAAAGAACTTATTCTCATTATAGATAATCATGCGGTTATTCTTTCACGACGAATTATTGCCGCAAAATGATTTTTTGAAATTTACTTCAAAATATATCTGCAATCGAAATTTCACCACGCAACAGTTATGTACCAACATAATATTTTTGATCTGCGGAAGTGATCCTGAACAATTTAACTACGTATGAGTAATGATTATTCTGATCGAAATACAACACCGAGTTGAATTTTTGATCGTGGCATTTCATTATTTTAAATATAATCATGCTTCAAATTAAACTTTGTCTATATGTCCTATTATTCTCTATTCAGACTCTTCTACCTGTAATCCTGGGCGTCGATCCAGCCGGCACCTCGACTAAAACTTTTCTACATTTCAATCAGATAAACCAGGCAAGCAAGTTTCGCCAATACGATTACGGTCGCGAAAAAAATCTGTTGATGTACAATTTGCCGGAACCCCCGGATTATAATCTAGCAAATACCACATTACCTATCGCATTGTTTTATGGTCTTGGAGACTTGATAGTTAACATCGTGGTAAGTAACAAAGAACTACTTGTTCGAATAAAATTTATAGCAGAAAGAGAGAGAGAACAAATTAATTTTAAAAAATTATTTTTTATATTTTGTTGTCTGTACACAGTTGAAAAAAAATTTGTGTTAAATTTAACAGATATCACATGTCCACAAAAATTTTTGTGTTAATTTCACAGAATATGGATATATTAAATGAAGACAAATACTGTGTTAATATTTTAATACAAAATATATGCAAAATTTTAAGTAATTTAAAATAAATTTTCTGTAAAATTGACATAGTTTTAATGTAAAAATATGTTAACTTTAGATTTTATCATCCCTACTTATATTATAAAATAAAAAATGAACATTTTATTCTGTAAATTTTTACAGATAATTTTTGTCACTAATAAAATAAAGCATATTTATTGTTTAAAATTGAAAATAGATGCACATTGTGTTATTCTTATATCTTATAATAATTTTAATAATTTAATAATTTAACGTGAAATCAGCACAAAGAGATTTAAAATGCATACCGTTACTAATCATTTCTCGCAAAAAAAACGAAGAATCTCTACACAAAAGGATTCATGGACGAAACATCAGACATGAAACATTGCGAAACATCAGACATGACACATTGTGACACATTTCTAACATTATAAATTTGATAGGATATTAATGTAATGTAATAGCGTTTAAGATATGACTTGATAATTTATGTAACACTGAAAAAGACTGCGTGCAGTCGAAACGTCTAGATAATTCTTTTATGTAAGATTCGATAAATTTACGGTTTGTCCGATTCGATTGATATTTCTTCGGTTTGACAATGCTTGTAGAATATATTAAATAAATTTCTAATTCTAACATTCTATTTAATGCTCGTTATACTTTTACTATATTGATTGTTTTAATAATTTAACTTATAATAATTTCAATAATTTAACATTTAAGTTCAATTAACACAATAATATGTTAAATTAACATTTGTTCTTAAACGTATTTAACAAAAATATTTTAACCGTTTTTAACAAGAAAACACAAATTTTTCTATTTTGTAGAAATATGAAAATTTTCTGATAATTCACAAGATCACTTTTTTCAAGAGTGTCAAGAGACTCTATCGCATATTACCCAACGTAATCGACTTATATGAAGTGCCATGGCGCAATTTCAATCACGTCGATTTTATATGGGCCAAGGATGCTCCAAAACTCGTGTACGAAAGAGTTATCAAGATTATGAGAAATGAGAATATAAATAATGTTACATCTACAAAATAATGTTACGTCAATAATAGAAATAATAATTAATAAATAAATATTTGTATTGTACTCGCTATTTATTGGAAAGTTATTAATAAATAAACCATTAAAAAATAAGAATATTATATTGTCAATTACTTGTAACATTCAATTTAATTTAACACGATTTATTAATATATGTTACACGCATACATTTTGTAAATTTCTTGCCTTGCATTTAATTTCCCGCGACTTTTATCTTCAATATATCTTTTTATTTAAAAACTTGAATACAACGTAATGTAATACCATTAACAAAAATTATCCATTGCAAACCCATGTACAATAGAATTGTATGAAAAATTATCGATTATAAACCCATGTACAATCGTAACAAAAGTAATGAAATAAAAAAAATTGCGCCAAGTGAAAGTAGAAACTTGTACCAGTGGAAAATTAAAGTTGCAGACATATATAGAGTCGTATAATGAATCAATAAAAATTTAAATTTGCAAATGTAAAATTGTACCATAAAAAAACTTATCTTTTAAAAAAAAGATAAACAAGATGCCAAGTCCATGCGCCATGTGAAAAAGTGTTAAACAAAAAAGTATTTTTAAGTAAAAAAATCTATCAATTGACAAAAATTTATGTTCTAAAATTAATATCTCTACAAAAAGTAATGTCCAATTATTGCGCGAATAAATAAACATTTTTATAAAAAATTAAAATTTAAAAACTTATGCAAATTTAAAATTAATATAAAATAAAAAGAAATAAAAAAATTTTAGTTAAAAAAACTGGGCGCGCTGCTAAATAATATTCTAATGATATTAAAATTAAATTGTTACTTTTAAACTCATTGCAGCGCGCCCAGTTTTTTTAACTAAAATTTTTTTATTTCTTTTTATTTTATATTAATTTTAAATTTGCATAAGTTTTTAAATTTTAATTTTTTATAAAAATGTTTATTTATTCGCGCAATAATTGGACATTACTTTTTGTAGAGATATTAATTTTAGAACATAAATTTTTGTCAATTGATAGATTTTTTTACTTAAAAATACTTTTTTGTTTAACACTTTTTCACATGGCGCATGGACTTGGCATCTTGTTTATCTTTTTTTTTAAAAGATAAGTTTTTTATGGTACAATTTTACATTTGCAAATTTAAATTTTTATTGATTCATTATACGACTCTATATATGTCTGCAACTTTAATTTTCCACTGGTACAAGTTTCTACTTTCACTTGGCGCAATTTTTTTTTTATTTCATTACTTTTGTTACGATTGTACATTGGTTTATAATCGATAATTTTTCATACAATTCTATTGTACATGGGTTTGCAATGGATAATTTTTGTTAATGGTGTGCCCTTAACTGGTCGCCTTTTTTTACCTTTTTTTAAAGGTGAGTTTTTAGAGATTATATCATTCATTTTTGTATATGATAAGCATCTTTAAATAAATAAGCAAATTCAATTTTTCTGGCATTTTCTTATTTTAGGTACATATATATCCAATAATTAATATACAAAATTAAATATTATTCATCACACAATTTGTATCAAAATAATATATTTTTTAAAATTTATTTTAAATTTATTTAATCATTTTTATCATTGTGATTGTAGTGGCAAGGATTTTATTGCTCAGTGTCATTGCAAGCATCTGGCCTGTATATACCATAATATATTGTGTAATACATTGGCTAAGTATGACAATATGGATTTTGATAGATTCCCATGGAATATTGGAATTTTGTCGGACTTGCAGTCATCCACCACATATGCAGCCTACAATTAAAGAACGCATTTATTCCATATTATTTGCTTCCGTTATTGGCATAGTGCACATTTTTATATATCTCAATGCTGTAGATAGCAAAACATTTTGAAAACATCTATCTTTCTATGTTATCTGCTTTTTTGAAAATATTGCAGCAAATTTATTATGGCAATATGCTTGTCCTCCTGCAGTTAAAGAGGCTTAGTACTTTAATATAATCTTTATTATTTGTATCATTTCCTTTTTCTTGGGAATTACAGCAATGCTTTTGTACTATATTGTCTTGCATCCCTCAAAAAGACAACATACTTCAAACGCACCAGTTCAAGCAATGTAACTTTGATATTTATTTACTTTAAAAAATGAGAGATAAATTATACAATATGCAATTAACCTTATCTTATGACTTTTATAAATCTTATGATAAAATCTAACTCTCTCTTAATCTTTATTATGAAAAGAATCTCGGTATTATATGAAATAATTTCATTGTATAGTTTAACTTTCAAAAATTTTGCAAAATAAAATAACTCACATTGTATTTCTACCATATATATATAAAAAAAGATAGGTAAATATAAATAAATAAATATATATTTATGATATACAATAAATAAATATATATTTATATTTATATATATATATATATATATATATAAAATGTTGGATTTTTATTATATATATATAATTTCAAAAAATCTTTTTTATATGCTATTGAATTTTAATACATACAATTTTGATTATATGTATTTTAAAAGTATTTTTATATTATCTTAAAAAGACTGCATAGAATTATTTGTGCGACACTCTTATATGTATGTATAATTAATAGGGACCAACTACACATTTTTTTTCCACTGAATAAAAACAATCTCAATATTAAAATTAAATTATAAAAAAGATACTGTGATATTTTATTGATGAGAAATGTACATTTATAATTGTATTAAATACAAAAATAAACATGCCATGAATTACTATATATACATATTTTCATAATTATCAAACTTAAAAATATAATATTGTTACCAAAGAAGAAAGCACTATTTAAAAACTCTAAAAGTTCATAATTTGTTAAATTAGTAATTAAATACTGCATTTTGTATAATTTTTAAGCTTTATTCTTTTATTTTTCTTTATTTAATTGAATAGATATTAACATCCACAATGTAGCATACAGATTAAATTAACAACCAAAGAAATAAATCTTAACTTTGAAATATATTTTTGTTTCTTTTAAATATCAATCAACTGGATTTTGTACTACTATTAATATGAATTCTTTATCTGGTGCCATCATAATTTTATGTTTTTTGCTACGTATGCGCAAGAAAGTTAAATCATTTGTTGGATTCAAGTCACGTACGACAGAACGAGCTTTATCTGACAATTGACTTATCAAACCTGCGTATTGAACTGTTGTCGTATTATCTAATGTTGACTTTATAGGAATACCTAAAACAGATATAATTTTATAAATTTTTGTTTACAACTACAAGTAAATCATGTCAATGATCTCATGTAATACCTTCTGCATTCACCACTATTGTTCCAACTACCCTTTTATGAGACTGAATTTGTTTCATAGTTTCTTCAACCTCTTATAAATTATTTCATCGAAATTTATTAATAAAATTTTTATTTTAAATATTCCAATAACGGAAGCAAATCATATGGAATAAATGCGTTCTTTAATTGTAGGCTGCATATGTGGTGGATGACTGTAAGTCCGACAAAATTCCAATATTCCATGGGAATCTATCAAAATCTATATTGTCATACTTAGCCAATGTATTACGCAATATATTATGGTATATACAGGCCAGATGCTTGCAATGACACTGAGCAATAAGATCCTTGCCACTACAATCACAATGATAAAAATGATTAAATAAATTTAAAATAAATTTTAAAAAATATATTATTTTGATACAAAGTGTGTGATGAATAATATTTAATTTTGTATATTAATTATTGGATATATATGTACCTGCAATAAGAAAATGCCAGAAAAATTGTAAAATAGTTCCTATAGCACTGATATTAGATTTATCTTGTTAAGCTAATCGAATGCTGCGATGATAACTAGCCATTGCCCAACCCATGCTCACAAGTGAGCTGATAATGCTACCTGCTTGATGTACAACTGAAAAAAATATAGAAGCTAATTAAGAAAATTATTAAAAATATATGCATACTCATACATAGGCATTTATATAATTGAAATATTATTGAAATAATAGCAAAATATCTGATTTTGTATCACAGACTGTAAACTTGCACATAAATTATTATGACAATAAATTTGCAAATAATAACATTAAAATTGAATGTAAAAATTGAAATTGAAAATTGAAAATATCTAACCCCGCACGCTGTCAATATAGCGGAGGGCAACTATCGCCGTCTGTTGTAAAACGTGCGAGATGGACATTTCCAATACATGCATCTATTCATGTGTTGTGTACGTGTGATATATGTGTGCGCATGTGTTGTATACGTGTGAATACGTGTAGCACGATACTACTATGTTTGCGTGGTCGATGATGATAATAATAATGATGATGACGGGGACGTTTCTTAAAAGAAATTTTTCATATTTCGACTTTGCAATTATATATCTCTGCTTACAAATCACGTAGAGCAGAAATAAAGACACTTTTATTATATAATTCAAACTCAATCTATCGATTAAGTCTAGTATAAACTCGATTGCTTCAGCCGTTATTGAGAATTCGAAATATTATAAAGACTCAAATGTCCGACTCGCGTTAAGATACACGGTGTCTCGGCTACGCCCTTAACTGGTCGCGAGACACTACCGTGTCTCTTGATAGTGTAAAAATAAAATTGTCAAAAAGAACAGTGACTAATTAATATTAATTGATATACAATAATAACATTTATATAAATGTTATAGATAAGATGTTAAATATAATTTAATTAGTCAAAAATACGTTTTTGTGTAAAATAAATAATAAAAATCTAATCAAAATTATAGTAATTATAAGTTGTCCATCTCTAATGTTGCGTTTTACGTATATTTTTGTTTGAAGACGCTTCTAAATTTATTTTGCGACTTATTTAAGTCACGCACATATTTGTTGAATTTTATTTCGCTATTTTCTTTAGACTTTTTTCGTTCTTTTGTGATACATAATAAAGATTCAAATAATAAATACACACACGTGTCCAAATAATAAATAAATGATTCTCAAGGATATACACATATCTCGAATTTAACACATATAAAGTCGTTTCAAACTTATGTTAAACGGATGACAGTGAACAGTGAAAGCCGACATTCGCCGTTGAATTATTAAGTATTACAAGATAATTTTTAGAATATACCCTATTTTATTCTATCCACTCTGTGTGACATTGGATTACAAACAACTAAGCTATTATAAATACGATTGAAAATGCATCTGCGACTCACCGATTAATCATTATTATATCAACAAGTAGACGTCGAGAACAATTTTAAAAAATTATTTATAATTTTGTTAATGTCATTATTTACTTATATTATTATATAACTATATAAATTTTTTCTGACATTATGATGCATAAAATGAATTTTGCTTAGTAAATTTATACTCTTTTTCGTAGAGATTATTCTCATTTTATCATTTATAGAACAATATATATAAACTATATTTATACGAAATGTCGTTGTAATATACATTTTATACGAATTGTTCTATATCGCTTCAAAATTTATATAAAATATATAAAATTTATTTAATAATTTTATGTAAAATTATATATAATTTATCAGTATTATTTATATTTATAAAATTTACATTACAAATTTATATATAACTTTATATTGCTTCATTTTTATTATATATATTGGATTTATATATAATTTATATAAACTTATATAAAATTTTATGGTGGAACTAATTCTATCTTTCTTATCTAATAGAAATACAAGAAGAATAAATGACGTCATGTCGCCACCCTCGCCAAATTGTTTTATAAACAATATCCTCGCATGTTCGAAAAAGGAAACTTTGACATGGGGCACCAAGAATTCCATCGTTTTTTCCAGACAGAAGAAGGATCAAAGTGGTCTACAGTATTTGCTAATTAATGATGCTTTTAAGAATACAATGAACTCATTAGCATTCTGTCCTAATGTCGATAGTCCAGACTGTCCAGAATTACTAATTTCTGGTGGTGATGAGGATAACGTCAAAATTTGGAATGTGGATACGTTAAAATTGGTCTCCCAGTTCTCGTTTAAGGATGTAAGCAAAACGTTGCAAAATAAAGCTAAAGTTTTGTACATATAGTATATACAGTATCTTATTTAACATTATAAAAGAATTAATTCGCTTATTTAAGAAATAATAATTTCTAAATTATTAATATAACTATTTCTTTATAGAGTAAATCAATTATAGAAGTTGATTGATCAGTCAAAGATACCAATATTGTATATGCAATAAATTCAGAGGGCTGTTTAATGTATTGTTACATATCATATCAGATGTCAAAGATAATATCTCTAGGCCAGATAATTCCTACATGTTTGGCTTCGTGTCCCCACGACTCGAATCTTGTAGCGATAGGTACCAAAAGTGGATTAATTTATATTGTTCAAAAAGAAACAATATTATATAAATTGGATGGTCACGATTAGAAAAATATAATCAGTTTATCGTGGTGTCCTTCGGATATGAACATCATAAATAGAAATGATAAAAGAGATTTACTTTTAGTTTCTAGCGCAGAAGACCGGTAAGATAAAATTCTCATAATATTTTCATGTGCTCCATGTCTCATGAATTGAATTAATTAAATATCTGTACATATTATATCAAAAAAAAGTAGAGAACTTATAAATATATTATTGCCTTTATCTTCATATCATTTTCATTTAAAATATTAAAATGAGGAAGCAATTAATAGCCAAAATTCTTTACTCTAGATATGTGATTATTTGGAAAGCTGGCGGAGATGGTAAACGCGAGATTTTGATAAATATGCCAAGTTCGCCATCTTGGTATAATAAACACAAACGCATTTTAATTTGGATTGCAGTGTGTTTGGTGAAGTCAGTAGTGCTTTTAATTTCCTCTCCTTGGGGTGAACTTTGGTCTTGGAATCTTTCTACAAACAAAAATAAACTTATGTATAAGCTGTTCCATACATATCACAGGAAACCATTGTTTTCCATAGTCGCTCTATCCAAAAATGATTCAATATCCGTCAATGGCAAAACAAAGTTCGAGTGAGTAAAGATTTTACGATTGTTTTGACGTGACATGTAATGTAAAATAATGAAGCTCCGTATTAATTACACTTCAGACTTACGATTTGGACTTACGCGCAAGATCGCTGCATTATATGTTGCAAAGCAAACAACAATTCTAAATCAGCGGTCCTGAATTATAAGACCTTTAAAAAAAGGTAAAAAAAGGCGACCAGTTAAGGGCACGCCATTAACAAAAATTATCCATTGCAAACCCATGTAGAATCCTATCCTATTGCAAACCCATGTAGAATCCTATGAAAAATTAACCATTGCAAACTCATGTAGAATCCTATGAAAAATTAACCATTGCAAACCCATGTAGAATTGTATTAAAAATTATCCATTGCAAACTTATGTAGAATCCTACATTGCAAACCCATGTACAATAGAATTGTATGAAAAATTATCGATTATAAACCCATGTACAATCGTAACAAAAGTAATGAAATAAAAAAAAATTGCGCCAAGTGAAAGTAGAAACTTGTACCAGTGGAAAATTAAAGTTGCAGACATATATAGAGTCGTATAATGAATCAGTAAAAATTTAAATTTGCAAATGTAGAATCGTACCATAAAAAAACTTATCTTTTAAAAAAAAAGATAAACAAGATGCCAAGTCCATGCGCCATGTGAAAAAGAAATAAAAAAATTTTAGTTAAAAAAACTGGGCGCGCTGCTAAGTTTCAAAATTACAATGCATCTTAAAGTAACATTAATTAATTTAAACACAAAACATATTTTAACTGTAATGAGTTTAAAAGTAACAATTTAATTTTAATATTGTTAGAATATTATTTAGCAGCGCTCCCAGTTTTTTTAACTAAAATTTTTTTATTTCTTTTTCACATGGCGCATGGACTTGGCATCTTGTTTATCTTTTTTTTTAAAAGATAAGTTTTTTTATGGTACGATTCTACATTTGCAAATTTAAATTTTTACTGATTCATTATACGACTCTATATATGTCTGCAACTTTAATTTTCCACTGGTACAAGTTTCTACTTTTACTTGGCGCAATTTTTTTTTATTTTATTACTTTTGTTACGATTGTACATGGGTTTATAATCGATAATTTTTCATACAATTCTATTGTACATTGGTTTGCAATGTAGGATTCTACATAAGTTTGCAATGGATAATTTTTAATACAATTCTACATGGGTTTGCAATGGTTAATTTTTCATAGGATTCTACATGAGTTTGCAATGGTTAATTTTTCATAGGATTCTACATGGGTTTGCAATAGGATAGGATTCTACATGGGTTTGCAATGGATAATTTTTGTTAATGGCGTGCCCTTAACTGGTCGCCTTTTTTTACCTTTTTTTAAAGGTGAGTTTTTAGAGATTATTGGCATAACGCTATATCCGCGGAGCAGATAATGTGGCTGTAGAGGTAGTCTGCAGTGCAGCTAATGTGGACGTAGATGTTGATTGAGATAATTGTCTAATATAAAATAGAATTTCAAAATTTAGTTTAAAAAGCTGTTGCATATATAAATAAAGTTTATTTTTTCTAAATTTGGAATATGTTTAATTAATTAATTTTTTAAGTCTATGTTTAATAAATTTTTTAAGTCTGTATTCAATAATTTTATTCATTTGATAAATACATGTATGTCTTTATTTTGATATGTTTAATATAATTAGAAATTCATTATTAATTAAATATGTAAACTATAAATTCATATATAATATTTGAAAATATATGTGAATATTTAAATTTTTATCTTCTCCTTCCTCTCCTTCAATCTCTTTAATATCAATATGTGTATGTGTGTACACGCGCGCACATTTGTACGTATTTATTTAATTATTGGATAGTTGAGAGTACTTAATTGATAAAAAATTATGACAATAATAATCCTTGTTTTTTTTTCTTATTATTTACTCAGATTTTTTTGTCTATCTTATAAGATAAACACTTTAGAGATTGAATATTTCAAGTAAACTAATTGTAAGTAAATTTCACATTAATGCATATAGATGTTTAATCATGAATGTACTAAATAAGTACACAAGACGAACAGTGAGTGAGTGAGTGAGAATGAGAGAGTGTGTGTGTGTGTGCGTGTGTGTGTGAGAAAGAGAGAGAGAGAGAGAGAGAGAGAGAGAGAGAGAGAGTTAGCGAACATAACCCCGCACGCTGCCGATCATGAATGTACTAAATAAGTACACAAGACGAACAGTGAGTGAGTGAGTGAAAATGAGAGAGTGTGTGTGTGTGTGCGTGTGTGTGTGAGAAAGAGAGAGAGAGAGAGAGAGAGAGAGAGAGTTAGCCAACATAACCCCGCACGCTGCCGATATGGCGGAGCGCCACTATCGCCATCTGTTGTAAAACGTGCGAGATGGACAAAATTACCACTACATGCATCTTGCATGTGTTGTGTACGTGTGATATATGTGTGCGCATGTGTTGTATACGTGTGAATACGTGTAGCACGATACTACTATGTATGCGTGGTCGATGATGATAATGATGATGATAATGATGATGATAATGATGATAATGATGACGGGGACGTTTCTTAATAGAAATTTTTCATATTTCGACTTTGCATTTATATATCTCTGCTTACAAATCACGTAGAGCAGAAATAAAGACACTTTTATTATATAATTCGAACTCAATCTATCGATTAAGTCTAGTATAAACTCGATTGCTTCAGCCATTATTGAGGATTCGAAATATTATAAAGACTCAAATGTCCGACTCGCGTTAAGATACACGGTATCTCCGCTACGCCCTTAACTGATCGCGAGACACTACCGTGTCTCTTGATTCCTACGCAAGGAGCCTTTATCTGCATGGCAGCTTGTGACATCGATACTTCGCTTATTGCACTTGGAGTTGGAGACGAGATGTTACGCCTGTTGAATTTTCCTGCTCAAAACGTAAAAGCTTTTGATATTATTATGCATAAGCTGATTGTAAAAGACAAGATAAGAGCGGTAGAATGTTTTTTCAAATTAATTATTTTGAAAAATTAAAAATATTAAATAATATATTATGTAAATATTACTAATACTATTGAGTCACGCCATAAGGTATACCCATTGGGGAGATTATTGTATTATTACGTATATAATTTTATAATATAATATACAACAATATATATATAGAATCAAAAAATATAAATAATTAAATATTATGATAAAGCAATTGTTTATATTATAATTAATTTATATTCGCATTTAAAACAGCTTTATTTTATCGGACATATCATATTACATTCTAAGCATTATTAGAGAAGTAATTAATATCCGCAAAAATCTATAATCAAATAATTGTAAAAGAAACATTAATTTTTATTTATATTCCTGTAGCCCCTATTCATACTTCCAATAATTAATACTCGCGTTTTAACAAAAATTTATAATTACGATACAGTTTCGCGGCGATTATATTTACAAAAGTTTAATAACCATTAAATGTAATAATTATAGCAAATTATGATACGATACGAGATGTCGTTTGAAAAAAATTTGACAACATACAAAGTATCTCGCACTACGACATTACTGTTCGAATGTCGGCGTGCGACTGACACATATGTAATTACATTTTAATTGTAGAAGTTAATATCTTATTAATTATTTTTCCATATAAAATAGTTTTCGCATATCGATCGCAAACGTAAAAAAGGAATTTGACAGTATGCAAAGCGTTTTACTTATGCGTCTTTTTTAATCGTGTGTCGAAGCTCGACTGACAATAATAATGCACTTTTATTGACAATACCAAGCTGGATTACTATATGCTATTCACATTTTGTTACCGAAATATTTTAATTGCAATGTTATGACATGTATGAAAATATATATAAATGTAAACGGAATATTAAATAAAATTATTTATTATATTAGTGTTAAACGTTTAGCATTTAGCAACTATCCTTCCAGGAATTAACAGTTTGAATGTTATTGAAAATAAAATTAAGTAAAATTTAAAAAATTATTAAACACAAGAGTAGACATTGACGCACATGTAACGCGCGCTTTTGTTGATCCAGTTCTATTTAAAAAATCATGTTATTGACACTGTGTATTGTCACTTTGGCTGTTCGATTCGTATTATGCGTTATAATTATAATCGTGCTGTTGTCATGTAACAGTTTGGCAGTTGAGAAAATATAATTATTTAAAATTACAATTATTAAAAAGTTAAATCGCACACACAAATTATAAAATAAATCGCAGAATGGCGAGCGCAAAGCGTGCGTTTATGTATTATCTGATATATTAAATTGCGATTAATCGTTTGTTCATAAACTGCGATAAAACATATTTTACCTAGTGCAATATTAGATTTAATCTTCTCGGACAAATCTTTCGCGTAACAGTTTTCTTCTCCACAAGAGTTTGACTTTTTTTACATAGACTCCTCAGTTGTGATATTCAAGACGATGTTGCCTTTGTTTCGTATCCGAATCGTTTCATTAACATCAATTTGATCTTCTTCTTCCACACAAATATGATAAAGTTGCAGAAACAGTTCACAATATCTAACAATACAATGACATATAAATAATAATTATTTACCAAAGATAAAAATAATTTATTAGTAATCAAAAGTAACATTGTAAACAAAACCCAGTTTATGGCCACTAAAATAGACATTACGATAAATAACTGCATATATAGTTTAAACCTGAAACAAATATATATATTAATATTTAGTCATTTTTCAATAATAAAATAAATTCTATATATATCATATGTTATATTATTAAATTGAAAAATAATGGAATAAATTACAATCTTAAATAAAGGAAAAAAAAGAAATAGTTGTTCAATGAAATTGTTTAAAAATGTGACTTATGTGACATAAATGTATGTTCGTTAACTTTATTATCACTATTTGCGACAATTCGAGAATTACAGACCTTCTCGGAAAGACACGATCCAATAAGTTAAATTACTGCAATAAATGTTTTTCTTTTCTTATAAATTATGTAATTACTAGTCAGAAAGAAGAAAAGAAAACAAAATAGAAAAAAAACGAATACAGTATATTGCTTTCAAATTTCAAATACAACGCAAAAATGTCAGCATATTCACCATTTTTTATTGTCATTATACCGCTTGCTTTCCGAATCTGTTAGACGTAAGTCTGTATTTTTTTCGTAACATTTGATGTTCAGTGCCGTAGAAATGGATAAGCAAACAGTACTAATGATACAGACAGTTTCGATCCAGAACAAATACACCACATTTTGAACTGTAAATATAAATTTATTATTATTTATTATTATTATTATTTATTATTGTTATAAAATTTTATACAGTTTCACACACTTTTAAACATAGCATTAATACATTTATCTGAGACGTACGTTTACCATTATACCCGCAATTTGCCATCTGGAATTCTGGTCTCAAATTTACTGGTATATACTCAGAAACCAAATCCACGATGATGACACACACAATACCAAGTATAAATGGGCAACCGTATGCAAAAATCACATAATACAGCAACTTCTTTTTTTCCGATTTTTTCTTCCGATTGACATTTTTTTGTAACGAAGAGAATCCTCTACAATTTAGGGTATATGTCATATTCAACTAAGAATAGATAAAGAAATCTCAATGTAGAAGAGTTAAATTAATGTTTATTTTCGATCAAGATTTTTCTCAGGCTTACTCAATTATCATAAAAAAACAGAATAATATTGTATAATATTTAGAAATTGTTACATATTTGCTTATAAATATTTTGCAAACAAAGATAATATAAATTGTTATTTAATTTTAAAATACAAAAAATATTTATATCAAAAAATTAATTTGTATTGCCTTATTTTATACATAAAAAAATGATTAACGCGATATAAATATCAAGCTTGTAAAATGTAAAAAACGTTCATCAAAAAGTTACATTATTGCGAATTAGACTGTGTTGAAATATTTTAGAAATATTTTATAAATTAATAATGTAATATTTATTATCCAATATAAGCCATTTCTAATTTCAAACGTTTACGTCAATATAATAAAATATTTGTTTTGTTTATAATATTATAAAACAGTACAATCAAATGAAACTTAGAGGCAAGTCAAATAAAAAATACTTGGTAATTTACCTGAATGTCCGCCACATATTAAAGCTCATGATATTCATCCAGAAGTAACTCGACATAATCCAAAAATATCCCAAAAAAGCTGAAAAATGAATAAGAATAAAAGATATAATAGAAAATATACAATGAAGAAATTCAAAATTTCCACGTTTTTAATTTTCCATTTAAAAATAGATTTACTCTGCTTCTTGCACTATAAGTTTATAATATTTTATAAATACTGATGCTACAGATATTAAAAATTAAATAGTATTTCAAGACATAACGCTAAAAATTCTGAAACAATATTGTATATATGTATAAATACATATATGAAGGTACATACACTGTAAAAAAATATGTAATATATTACACAAAAATATGTAAAATTACATAAATAATAAATGTAAAATTACATGATAAATAATGAAAAAGTAAAGATTTCTATTATTTATTGTGTAATTTTACACTTATTATTTATGTAATTTTACATATTTTTGTGTAATATATTACATATTTTTTTACAATGTATATTGCGGCAAACTCGGATTAGCTATTATTAAAGTGCATTAATTTAATTAATTTAATTAATTATTAGTCGTCATATTTTTGACAAGTTACATATTCAAGTTATGAAAAAGATTAATAAATATGGAAATATACATTATGCTTGACTATTGATTGTATATAGTTATATAATTTATTGTTAGATATATGTACTGTACCAAGTGTAATACAGACGGGATGCGACACATCCGCTCCGTAATGCATAATCTTTACAAAATCAATTACGATTGCGATGGATGAAGTGAAGCTATAATTGCACAACATGAAGCCATGCTCATTTCGGAGTTCTGGCAATATGGAATACACTAGAAATATCGATACGAGAAATAATAAACATATTAATTTCACGCTTGCACATATCTTAAATAAACGAATTGCCGAGCGAACCGTTGGTATGGCCTCTCTCTCGTCCTTGAAAATTTGAACAGCAGTTTCCGAACAAAAAGTCACATCAAACTTATTCCCCCATTTCCAGATAAAAGCGAGACAATATGACGTCGATTTAAGTAATGTTTTAGAATGAGATAAATAAATAGAACCGTTGGTGAAAATCTTATAATCATACGGATATCTGAAACGATGCATCTCCAAGCACGAATCGTAGACGGCATACTGGAACAATTCGTCCACACTTTTATTTTCGTTCTCCATTAAATTGTTTGTGGATTCGTATACATTCGGAAGATTGTATTTAATTTTTTTCGGAATGCATTTGCTGGTTTTCCATCTTAGGGTGTCGCCAAGAGGACAGCACAGCAGAATGCAAGTAACATTATGGCACATTTCGTACGGAACGATGTTAATTTCTTTACTCCCTTTGAAATTTTCACAGACACCATTTGACACGGAATCGTTCTTTACGATCAAATTTTCATAATTTTCCTGTGACGTGAAATTTCCTTCATAATTGACATTTGTCGAATGGGTATGAAAATTCATCCATATTTGGTCATCATTCTCAGGATTGTGAACATATTGCGTATTGTTGGCAAACTTATTTTCACACAAATCGTATCGAATTGTTTTTATTTCGTCGCTATAGATTATTGTAGAATCCGCGTCCTTCTCGTTTCGTACCGTCGAATTTTCTTTCTCTTCGTTGTCGATGAAACTTTGCTGAGATTTCGATGGCGAAATGATAAAGAGAAACAATCCGCAACACAAAAACGCGAAACTTTTTGACACATTATTTTATATAAGGATATACTTTAGAAAAATTAAATAATTAAATCGATGCAAACTTATCAGCATTCATCGGTCCTCGCACATAGATTTCGAATGTTCAATAATTAAAATTGTCTATATTTTTATACATACTTTAGAGTTTATATTAATTGTGCGAAAGAAAGATGTTAATGCAAAATATACACATTTAATAAAATCCAAGTATCGTTTTCTTTTTGTGTTTTTCAACGGAATCTCGGGAGATTGTTCTGTGATTTTATTCTAGCACCATTAACGTAGAGGCGATTGGTTTCTTATATCTCGCTAGATTTACTGAAACATACATATATTATTTCACACCATATCCGGCTTTGACTTCTTTTTCTAAAAAGATGGAAGAATGTATCTCCACGAAAGAGAAGATGAAACTACCGAGGACGACGAGTTGTCGATCATTTTGCAAGAAAACATACACACGCACATTGTCTGACTACTACTACAAAATTATACACATATAACATTTACTTACATATCTGAGAAAAATAAAAAACGTTTATAGATTTTTTATTTAACTATTGACTCTATGAAAAACTAATATATTTGTAAACATACTTTTAATATATATATATATATATATTTTTTATATTATTAAAAATATATTATTAAAGAATTCATTGATATGTGGATATAAAAATTTTTTTTGAATAACAAGTAAAAATAATTCTATTTATTCCATGAATTTATCAATGAATACACATTCGTTAACTCTAGAGTACAAAGAAATAATTAAAAGATGAAATTATATATATATATATATATATATATATAATAATATATACACACAATATATACATACGTCCAATCAGCTCATCATTATTCGCCAAATCTTGTATTCCGCGCGTTTCCACTAGCTAATGTACGAAATATAAAAATTAAATATTATTCCAAAACCGGTTTAGATTCTACTTTTCTAACCTTAACATTTTTATGAAGACTTTATTTAATTAGGAATTAAAAATAGCAGTGACGTTGCAGTGCAGTTATTTAATTGAGAATTAAAAATAGCAGTGGTTCAAATGACGTTGATATTTAGTTTTTCGCTTTCGACTTTTGACGAAAAAAAAAAAATTTATCATAAACAATTCAATTGATTTTTTTAATAAGTTATTAAAACTAATAATTACTTGTTGTGTGCCTCGGGAGAGACACTTAAGGGTCGCGCCAAATTGGGATGGGAATCCGGGGCGTCAGGACTTGTCGGGTGTTTGTAGAGAAATGCACTACACTTTTTGTATTAAAATTCTTTATTCAATTTCAACCACTTGGTCTTTATTTTATTTCACTATCAATACACTGTAGCTTTACGAGTGTGCGGCACTGACTTTATATTACTCCGCGTATCGCGCACAACTGCGAGTCGATGCTAAGTGCGCGCGCGGTTAGCGAGATCGTGGTTAGAGCGATTATTTGTGTCTGCGACTGAGCGAGCTGTCGCGTCTCTACTCTCTTTTTATATCGTTGTTTTTTGGAGTTTTCCCGATCGGAAGGGGTGCCTGGCAACAGGTTTCCCCGGTCGAGAATCTAGGTGCAAGCGAAGCAGATTCAAAGTCCTTCTGCTTTGCTTGCACGTTGACCAATTTCTGTTCCGCGTATATCTCGCATTGTATGCGTTTTTAACGCGTTCATTATCTGTCTTAATTCTGATTTCGCGTATACCTCGCATCGTATGCGCTTTTTAACGCGGTCATTATCTGTCGTAATTCTGATTCCGCGTATACCTCGCATCGTATGCGTTTTTTAACGCGGTCAGTGTCTGTCGTAATTGCGGATGCAATACGAGTACCCATTTCTTAATATTAGTTAACTTTTAATAGTTATATCTATTGTATATCTTTGGGGGATATAACATCCCTCCCCCGTTAAAGAAGAAAAACGAAGGCATGAAGTTTTTCGCTTACAACTAAAGCTTACAAATGTTTATCCCGTTCACAATATAATTATAATCGTTTCCTATTTCCTAAAAACGCGTACTATTACTCCTTTTTATTTAATATAGATCTAGGTACATCCCAGTCATCGTCGAGTATCGTCACTCTTGGTCTTCTTTTAATGTCTTTTCTATTTTTTACCTTCCAAATTATAATGACAATGATAAATATTATAATTATGATTATTACTAACCCGCTCGAGGTCATGGGATAAATAAATTGTTTTCTTGTATAAAACTTTTGTTCATTATCCTGTAAATCATTGTCTATGTTGTTTATTTTTGTTCGTAATTCTATTAATTCTGCGTTTTAATTTGATAGTTTCCTCGTGAGGTTAGTCGGCCGGTATTTTTTATTATTAAATTTTTTTCTGTGTATCCGTCACATTTTATATTTATTTTTTCTTCCTTAGCTGTTGAGTACAACCATGTGTGTGTTTGATGTAACGGGATCCATACTGTCGTTTTCGTTTTAATTGTATTAGATGCAATGCTTATTCGCATTTGGACGATTTGTTGTGTCCTTACTGTCGCGCCCGCGCCCCTGTTGTGGGGCCCGAAATAACGAGGGACGAGTATACCCGGGCGTACGATATGGTGCTCCGGTGGGCGAATGTGTCCCGGAGGGCGGGTGAGCCGCATTCCTTGCACGTCACCCTCGATACGCGTACCGGTACGCGAGTGGTGCGTGAAGTGGTGGTTTTGGTGGGGGCGACCAGCCTTGATCGATTCGCGATACCAGAATAGGTAAGTCCCTAGTGTTTAATAAATAACTTTAATTTTGTCGTGTGCATGCGTATCGCTTTTTCTTCCCCCTCTTTTTTTCTCTCTTCCTTATTGTACCTTAGGCGTCGGAGGTTTTCTTTTCGGTTATCCTTGTTGTAGCGTTTCGTCATATATAAGCATTTTTTCACCGACTTCAATTTTGTTTTAAAAAATTTTTGTTGGTCTAGGTATCGTCCGATAAAAAATTCCTGGCGCGGTTTGTTCGGCTTTTATGATTCCTGCGATATTTTTAGTTACGGCGGGTCGGATATGTGATAAGCGATACTGGCTTACGCGTACCGGGGTCTCTATTTCCGAGTCTCCCTCGTTCCTGTCGCGTTCGGTCTCAGATTCGTTTTTTCGTGACCTATTCAAATTTCGGTTAATCGTTTCGCTGCGCGGCCGTAGTCGGATCTTCTCATACGGGCGCAGTTTTATTACCGCGTTTCCTAGTTGCAGCTCTCGTTTCCTATGGTTGCAACAAGCATTTTGTTTCTTCAGGAAATCTATTCCTATAATTCCGTCAAATTCCATCGGAAATTCATCTTTCACAACGTAAATTGCGTGTTTTATTTTGTTCCCATTTAGCTTAATGGTCGCGTACATTTTTCCGATTGTCTTTGCCTTGTGACCGGTTATTCCCACGAGAGTTATTTTATCGTTGTAAATTTCGGTCTCGCCTTTTAAGAGTTTCACTTTTATCAATGAAATCGTAGCTCCCGAATCGTAAAGCATATTTACTTTCCCGTGTTTTGCCTCTCGCATGGGCAGATTAATTATATTTAAACTCTCTTTCTCTCTCGGCGTTCGGCGCACGTGTGACATCTGATATTCCCGCGCGCGTGTCGTCTTATTCTTTTTCTCTTGTCTTTCGTCCTCGTCGCTACTTTGCTCGTCATTGTTACTGCTTCGCTCGGAATCCGTATCACTGTTTCTCGTTTTCAGCTTCTTACGACTTTTGATTACATTAACGTTACGCGATTTTTTATCACCGTTTATTCTATCGTGACTTGATGTCATTTTTAACCGTCCATTTAATGTCCAGCATTCTTCACGGTTGTGTCCACGTTTTTTGCAGTAATTGCAAAACTTTTCTGCTGTGATTACCCGATCTGACTTCTCGGGTTTCGGAAGCGCGTATTTACTGTTACGGCATTCTCGCTCGTAGTGCCCCGATTTTCCGCATTTATAACATTGTACAGCATTCTTTGTTGATCGCGACGGCGCTCCCTCGTAACGGTTTCGATTTGTGTAATTACTAGATCGCGTTGTAGTTGTGCCCTTTACTTTTTCCTCGGCGGTTGCGGCCGTTATTGCCTCCTGCAGTGTTTGGTAATTTCAAGAACGAATAAGAAGTTGTATCTCGTCGCGTAGTCCTATTTGGAAATTTTGCAAGGCTTGTTTTTGTATAGTACTTAGTATGATCCGCTTTGCAATGGGGGAGTGATCTTCTCCCTCCGTCATGGATTCATATAACTCCATAGCTAAGGTATCGACGCGCGTTCCGAAAGCTTGCGCGCCTTCATTCGCCTTTTGTTTTAAGGAATTGAACTCTATCTGCAAATACGTAGTACTTCGCCTACTCTGATATGTACATTCCAATTGTCGCTTGAGTTCGTGGTATGTCTGTATGTCTCGCGTTTGAAAATCTAACATTGCTTTGCCTTTGAGTTTCGTGCATAGGATAGCTCCCACCAATCCTCTTTCGTTAGCAGGGTGTATGTTTGTCATGGCGTATGTGAATGTGCTTAGGAATTCCTGTAATTTATGTTGGGCCGTCCCGTCAAATTCCGGGATCATTTGCCGTGCTTCTTTTAACGATAAAAAAGGCTCCTGCGGGCCTTGTCGATGTCTAGCGTCACTCTCTGTTCGTCCGTACACAACGTTATATTTTTTGTCGTCATTGTCGGGGTCTCGCGTTTCTCTCTCGCGGGTGTGTGTGTCCCGGCGGATTCGACCTCGTTCGTCCGCGTATGTGCTAATATCACGAATTTGTTCGCGCAATATGTCTATTTTCCTACGTAGTTCTCGCATGCCTCTCATTATCTCACGTAGCATGGGGTTATCTATTCCGGCCTCCCTATAATTAGGAGTTTCGCGCACCTCGATTTCGTCAATGTGTCTATCTATGTATCGTCTGGTATCGCGGGGGTTAGTTGTTCCTATTTCGCTATTAGGGGGTGGTGCATGTACGTCAGCTTCCACCAGTCGAGTGTTGTCGCGAGCTATTGTACCGTGTAGACGGTCAATCTCGCGGTCGATGGCACCCTCGGACACATCCATGCCACCGTTAGGCGGTGTTCGCAGCATGTCCTGATACTCACTCGGATCGAAAATACTACTATCGTATGATGTAAGCAAAGATTCCCCGTGTTGTGACCCGTTGCTAGGAGTTCGTCTCACGCGTTCGTTACTTTCTTTTCTTAAATTTTTACCGGTGTTGGTTTCCCCTTCTTCAAATAAACTTTCGTCAAAAATGTTAAACGGAAATTCGCGTTCGGCTTTCCCGTGAGTATATGATTCGGAGTCGCTCTCTCCTGAATAATATGCTTCTAATTTTATCCGCACTTTTCCGAGGTTTTCTAAGGTTATCGGTAGTGCTTTGATTGATCGTGCGGCTGAGTCGCTATGTAACCACGAATTATTCGCTATTGCTTGTCGGGGTGTTTCGCTTTCCTCCGACATTCATGCAGTATGTGTAAAAGTTTGGTTCGGACTTACATTAATGTTACTATCGCTCGCTTGCTGACGCTGCAGATCATCGCTCGGCAGTGTTGATACGGCTGGCGGTCCGGTGTCGTAAGGTGATCCTGCGGGTCGCTGTACGGTGCGATGCGTTGTCCGTATTGTCGTAGGTCGCGTCCTTAGGTGATGGCCTACTTCCCGACGGCTGATGCGTTGTCCGTGTGGGTGTGTTTTTTTTTGTACGTACGGCACGCTGCTGCTTATACGTCGGCTTCTGTTTTGTTTGTTTCCCGTCGATTATTATGTTCGACGTGCCTGCTTATTAATACTGCTGTATTTTTCAGGTCTTCCTCCGAGTAGTTCCTGACGGTCCTTCGGCGCAATCCCACCGCTGCCACCAAATTGTTGTGTGCCTCGGGAGAGACACTTAAGGGTCGCGCCAAATTGGGATGGGAATCCGGGGCGTCAGGACTTGTCGGGTGTTTGTAGAGAAATGCACTACACTTTTTGTATTAAAATTCTTTATTCAATTTCAACCACTTGGTCTTTATTTTATTTCACTATCAATACACTGTAGCTTTACGAGTGTGCGGCACTGACTTTATATTACTCCGCGTATCGCGCACAACTGCGAGTCGATGCTAAGTGCGCGCGCGGTTAGCGAGATCGTGGTTAGAGCGATTATTTGTGTCTGCGACTGAGCGAGCTGTCGCGTCTCTACTCTCTTTTTATATCGTTGTTTTTTGGAGTTTTCCCGATCGGAAGGGGTGCCTGGCAACAGGTTTCCCCGGTCGAGAATCTAGGTGCAAGCGAAGCAGATTCAAAGTCCTTCTGCTTTGCTTGCACGTTGACCAATTTCTGTTCCGCGTATATCTCGCATTGTATGCGTTTTTAACGCGTTCATTATCTGTCTTAATTCTGATTTCGCGTATACCTCGCATCGTATGCGCTTTTTAACGCGGTCATTATCTGTCGTAATTCTGATTCCGCGTATACCTCGCATCGTATGCGTTTTTTAACGCGGTCAGTGTCTGTCGTAATTGCGGATGCAATACGAGTACCCATTTCTTAATATTAGTTAACTTTTAATAGTTATATCTATTGTATATCTTTGGGGGATATAACATACTCAAATTTAAAACATTTTAGAAAAAATAATACAATAAAAATAGTACAGCGTAAACTAAATTATTGTAAGCATAGAAAATCTAAAATTTAAATTTAAGTAATGGTATAATAATCTTGTAGTTCTTTGGAGATTTTTGGAGATTATAAAATTAATAATAAATGAATTATAATAAATTACTAATTATAATTAATTAATTATAATTTATTTATTTACGAGGTCTTATCTACACCATTCCTTTAGTCAACGCAAAACGAGATCTATTATCGTATACGAAGTTCGAAATCTTTTAGATGATACTTAGAACAGTGACCTTGACCATATTTGTGTCAAGGTCAAGGTCAAGATCATTGGCGAGGTGTTGGTTAAGGTGAATATTGCACATTTCTTCTTAAAGATACATGTTGCAAAATTTTTACGAATCTATTTATTACTAGATCTATCTATTTATTTATTATTGATTTTTTATTGTCTATATAAAAAGAAAATAACGTCAAAATTTTATTTAGATAATTATCTATATAATTTTATTTAAATGACACCAAACCATCCCTATAAGCGGATCCCTATAATATTATTTAATATTCTAGGCGTATTCTTAGAATATTAAATATTCATTTAATCTACGAAAGATTTTTAAATTGTTTGCATATAATAAAAATTCGTTATTTTTGAATATCTATAATTATAAATATATATATATATATATATATATATATATTTATTTATTTATATATATATATATAAATATATATATATATATTTATATGTAATATATATAAATAAATATATATATTTACATGAGGCATAAAAAATGTTTGATCACATTATCAAACAGAATTATAACTTCGATCGAATCATCGATCAGCACCATTGTCCGTCGTTTAAACGTAAGAATGCTTGAAATTGAACTTTATACGTATACTTATTTTTTATTTAGACTCCATTACCATCCACGACTCTACTATACTATTATGTAGAATCACGCTTCAACTGACGTTTAAGCTAAGACACTTCTGCATTTCATTGACGTATACTGGTCTGCCAAGTTTTGTTATGTGATTACAGTCGCGAGATAAATCTATAGATATACAATTCATCGATCTATCACAGATACATCAGGATATCTATCACGGAAATATCGAATAATTACTGCGTAATTAATGTCGTGGTAAGTAATAAAAAATTAAATTATATACATAGATGGTCATCTAGATAAAATTTGACGTCATCTTATCTTTATATAGATTATAAAAATATGTAGAGGTATATAGATAGAGATCAATAAAAATATGTATTATTTATATTTATCTGCATTTTGCATGAAACAAATTATTATCTTTACAAAATTATTTAGAATAATGTTGAGATAACTTGATTTAGAGTCATAGCACATACAAATACTTAATTAGTAGAACTTAAGCATTAAACGATAAAAACTTATAAAAGTATGGATCTATTTTTATATATTCTTTTAAATTTTTTTATAATTGTGCTTATAAATGATCTTAAAATGATATTATTTAACTGTTATTTAGATGAATGGCCGTATAATTTTATCTTTTATCTAGATGCATTTAATACAAAATTATCTTTATTTTATCTAAGATAAATTTACATATTTTTATCTCATCTTTATCCAACTAATTTCAAAATTTTTTAAGTACAACATTGATAGAAAGAGAGAGATTGCTTAATTAACTGACTGACTGATTTAACTTAATTGCATGTAAGTCAAGCTTTGTACATAAAATTAAAAAACATTTGTAAATGAAAATTTGCATATTGCTTTCGCATTATATTAATTCGTAAATTAGAATAACTTTTTAATTATAGCTTTCTCATAGAAAAATTAAATGGTAATCAAGCAATGTGCAAGTTAGCGTCCTTTATTAGAAAGCCATAATTGAAAAGTCATCCTAATTAGCGAAGTAATATGATGAGGGAGTAATATGTGCAAATTTCCATTTGCACAATTTTTTACATAAAATATTTTTGAATAATGTCAAAATATATTTAAATATGTTTTTTAAATGTAAATTATAAAATTTTGAAATATTTGGAATAAAATATTTTTAAAAATTTATATGAAAAACTTTAAACATAAAATAAGAAAAGTAGTTTAAAGAGAAAAATACTTTTCAAAAAATTAATTTTTGTCTGTAAAATGTAAAAAATACGTTTGTTAAATTATGACTTTATAAACATTTCTGTCGAAACGTTTCTTATTAGTGTGTTGGACAATTTATTATAAAACATTAGGTATAGTGAGAAATTATGAGATTAACATGTGTTATATGACTTATTTTATCCCTTTCTAAAAGAAAACGTTTAATGAAGTATCAAAAAAAAAGAAAAAGCGAATCTTCTGGAAAACAGCTAAACTATTCATCCGAAAATCAAAGGGAAAAAACCCGAAATTGAGATTAATTGAGATTAATGAAATATTATTGTAAACCATTTATTGACATTTTAATCGCAGTGCAAATTTAAAATTGATTAACACAAAATGAGAATACAATGATTAATGTGTTTGTAAACTGTGTTTTTGTTTTTGCGGTTTTACAATGAATTAAATAACTAATATTGCAACAAATTTAATTATGAAATCGTTGGATAATGTTTTCTAGATTTTTGCTTGCAAATGCTTGGCAATAATTGAAAATGCATAATTATAATTAATGCGCTCAATAATTGCTAGCAATTTAAATTGAATACTTCACGTTTTCAAAAATATAGTTGTAGATATTTTCCCATAGAAATACATATACATTTAGCTCCAGAAAAAAAGTTCAATCTAGCCTACTTTGATTTTGTTTCTAGCCTACTTTAATTATTAGTTTTTCTGTTTGCAGGTTAATAAAAACCAATCGAAAGGATATAGTACGTTAATATAATTGCATTATTTTTAGCTTAAACTTGCATGTTTTACTCAATTTTTTAATAATATATACTTATATCTCCCGATAAAAAAACATGTCTGTTTTTTTACAATTTATTAAATCGATCTCTATAATCGACGTGATAAAATTAGTCATGTATTTGGCATTATTCTGCAATTTTTCCAATGCAATAACAGACGTAAAAACTCAGCTACATGCATTTCCCGAGAAAATATCGTGGATCAACTGGGAGCAGTCGAAAGATTTTAAATTCAATCCTGATGCCACTTTCGATACGGTAAACATACGTTTTTACTCATTAGAAACTAATAACAAAACTGAAATTTTTATTATTTTAATTGTAAAAAATTAAAAATTAAAATTTTTGTTATTTTAATTAGTTTTTTTTTTTAAATAATCAAAAATGATCTTTTCTTAATAACTTTTCTTATAAGGCAACGTATAAATCTAAACTCGCTAATTTGGATTAAGAGAAACGAAAGATTCGTTTCCAGAAACATTATCATAATATATCCGCCTCGTTATTTTCATACGTTTTGTATATTTTATTATGCCGGCATTATTCTTCTAATCATCGTTCACTTGTAATTTCAAGAAAGGCATATCGATGTCAAGAGGCTCATATTCCCGCTTAAGAAACTAATTTTTTATAAAATTCAAAAATTTTGCATATGAAAATTTTTATTGTACGTACTTGAGAAGTTGTATAACTGTTTATATAGAAACTGTTTTTATGCGGTATTTTCTTAATCGCAAAACTGGACTTAAAAAAAATTAAAAATTAACAATAAATAATAATATCAATTATGCGTTGTTTTGTGCTTTTTTCTCTTAGCGACATGTAGATTTGGATATTAAGTACTCGGGAAGTATTTACTATATGTCCCGCTTTTCTCTTTCCATGAAACATAGTTGGTCTTTCTCTTTCGCTGTATTGCTTTACACTTGTACAAAAATGAGCCTCTTCTATCTATTATAGATAGTAATATGTCCTGACATTTTTGCAACGTCATGCAAGATTGTGAATATTTTACCATTATTCACGATATTGACAGTTTGCGTCATAATTTAAGTGTTGTACGATTTTTTATCATGCGAGAGTTTATGCGTTTTTTAATACGTTTTATATTTATTGACACATTATAATAACGTCTGCTATTTTTTTCCGTTTTTCAAGTGTTTTATGACTTATTATTAGATTATATACTTTGGTATAACAATAATTTTTATTATGTCAACTATTGTTTTTCATTGAAGAAGGTTCAAAGAAGATGAAAACATTTGATACTTTTATTACATTTATATATATATATATATATATATATATATATATATAATTTATATATATGTAATTTATATATATTATATCAGAGTTTTGACCCTTATCATGTAAAATGTAATTAAACATAACATTTAATAAGTACAATATATATATATATTGTACTTATTAAGCGAATTGCAAAATGTAATTTTAAGTCTAACATTTCGCAATTTACTTGATAAGGGCCAAAACTTTGATCGAAACGTTGTGATTTGAATTAAATAAATTATTTGTCAGTACTGTCGAGAGAATAGTGTTGATTTATTTTAATAATTTCTGGCAATTTTCAAATATATATATTTATTAACGTATACGTTAATAATTATTATTATATTTTTTATTTATTATTGCTGCACTTTTATATATCAAAATTTAATTTAAATTACATATTTCTATTAATTACATCTACATATAATAATATTAATATTTTCTTTTTTTGTTTTTTAAAGTCAATTTAGATATCCGATTCAATTGCTGGTATTATTTATTTGCTTTTAAATTATCTCTTTTTTATTTTAAAACATATGATAAATATAAAACATATATATACAATCTTTTATTATATCAATAATATTTATTTTCATCTTAAAAATTCTGTAAAAATAAACATTTTTTATAATCGTAACATAATCATTAAAATCATTTCAACTGATTCAAAAAATAAAAATAAAAAATAATTGAATTTATTATAGAATTATTTCTTAAATAATTCTATAATAAATAATTCTATCAAGTTTTTCTTACACTTTTATCAATCAAAATCTTGCTTTATTATAATCTCTAAAAATCATATGTTTAATTACAAAATTAACACCTCTATTTTTCTTTATTCTGACTTTATAACAAATAGCTTCATATTAATTAGATATTTATGCGTAATTGCAAAATTATGCATAATTATTATTAATGAATATTTAAATTGTTTGAAAAATTTGCTCTATTTATCTAAAAAATAAATAGAATACGCAGATTTTCGCATAAATTTATTTTAACTTTGCATTTTTTTTTTTTTTTTTACTGATTCTTCTAGATGGAAATGATAAAAAGAGAAGGTTATCCTGCAGAAACTCATGTTGTAACGACAGAAGATGGTTATCTCTTAGTATTACATCGTATTCCAGGTGGCAATAACTCTCTACCTGTATTATTGCAACACGCTGTGTTATGCACCTCCGCCGACTGGATCATTCTTGGCAAAGGCAAAGCACTCGGTGTGTACAACTCTTTAATCAATACTTCAAATATATTCCGAAATTATATTTTTGATATACAAATTCAAATTCCAACGGGCTAGTAAAAACTAAACAAGGCTGATATTGCATCGGTTTAAAAAATTAATTTTATTGAAACTGATTTGTTATGCACAAGGCATACATTTTTTTGATGTAACACCAAGTAATTAAATAAATCCCAATACGAAATTTATTTATTTTTATAAATTATTTTAATAAAAAAATACCAACAAAAATTTATTTTTATTAAAACCGACACATCAACTATTTGGCTCTTATTAACACGTAGAAATTTAGTTGCTTTTAATTAAAATCCTTCTTATTAATTTATTAAATGTATCATATCTTTAACGTTCTATATTATTTATTTACAATTATTTATTTAACTTATCAGATAATATAATGATTGAACTGCAATTCAATTCGTAATTTTAATTTATAATTATTAAAAAATATTAACAATAAATATATGAATTTATATATGTAAGAGAATATTATATGAGAAGATACAAGTTATGTAATAAATTTTGCAAACAATGTCTTTTTTCATTCTAGCTTATCTATTAGCGGATCAGGGATATGATGTTTGGTTAGGCAATTTTCGTGGTAATACCTATTCAAGGGCGCATATTTCTCTGTCTCCGTTGGAATTAAAATTTTGGGATTTTAGGTACTAACATAAAAAAAATAATAATGGTTTGAAAATGATAAATGTTGCACATTTAATTTGGCGTCAAACACAGTAGAGAGACTTATATGATATGCTTATACTTATATAGCCTATAAAGTCTAATAAATATAAATATATTTAACTTTTTAAATCACTATTGTATATAGGTACATATTTAATAATTTTAAATAACATTTATCCAGAAAGACTCTTTATACAATAAATATACATAGAGTATATTCTTTCTATATAAGTAAAGATGCAAACTGATACGAGTGTCTTTTTGTCAGACATATAAATATACTTTATTTATATATATATATATATATATATATACAATATAATATTATTTTTTAAATATATTATATTTTTTAATATAATTTATCAAATTTTAACACAAAGAATCAGCAATTATCTATATTGGCAAAAACAAAGATATTTTGAAAATAATGTATTTTATTTGGAAATTTTGCCAAAAGGAGAAGAAATTTATTTTTTAACAATAGATCAATTTATATAGTCTATCTATGTAAAATACTCTATCATACATATAAATTTCTATGTATTTATTATTTATATATATATATATTTTGTGGCAGTAAGATAATTAAATATTTCACCAGCTTTCACGAAATGGGTATCTATGATTTACCCGCGATGATTAAATTTATCACAAATATGAAATCGCAACCATTGCACACGTACGTTGGTCATTCGATGGGTACAACTAGTTTTTATGTAATGGCATCGGAGCGTCCGGAAATCGCACGAATGGTACAAAAGATGATCAATTTTGCGCCGGGAGTCTTTATTGACAAAGTAGAAAGTGCATTAAAATATATCAATCCTTTCTTGAGAGAATTTAAGGTAATATAAAATATGCAAATATAAATTAGAAAATTATTTATTATTTATAGTAATTATATATTATTAAATTAAAAATTAATTTATTATTTATTATTATTAAATTGTTTATTATTAAGTAACGTATTAATAAAATATACTGTTCAAAACAATGTCCCTTTATTGTCGAAACAAAAAATCTATGAACGTCTCTTTAATAGGTAATATCTAATGTTTTGTAATTATCAAATACGTAAAAAAATGTTGCGACAACAATGTGTTTAAAATTATAATTTAAGAAATATATTTTTTATATTTTTACGATTTAAAAAATAAAACTTTTATCTGAAGTTTCAAAATTAATAAGATAACAAAATTAATAAGATAACATTTCCAATACATTGTTACATATACATATATCTATACATTTATATATGATTAAATATATAAGCAGTTTTTTATTTCTTAAAACTTTATTTTTTCTATAAAAAAATACAAAAATTATATTTCGAATTATTTTTTAATTATCATGAATTAGAAATACATATATATGTATTATATCCCAAAAAAGAATTTATTTTCATTACAGATAATCATGCGGTTATTCTTTCACGACGAATTATTGCCGCAAAACGATTTTTTGAAATTTACTTCGAAATATATCTGCCCTCAGAATTTTATCACGCAACAGTTATGTGCCAGTATAATATTTTTGATCTGCGGAAATGATCCTGAACAATTTAATTACGTATGAATAATGATTATTCTGATCGAAATACAACACCGAGTTGAATCTTCGATCGTGGCATTTCATTATTTTAAATATAATCATGCTTTAAATTAAACTTTGTCTATATGTTTTATTATTCTCTATTCAGACTCTTCTACCTGTAATCCTGGGCGTCGATCCAGCCGGCACCTCGACTAAAACTTTTCTACATTTCAATCAGATAAACCATGCAAGCAAGTTTCGCCAATACGATTACGGTCGCGAGAAAAATCTGTTGATGTACAATTCGCCGGAACCCCCGGATTATAATCTAGCAAATACCACATTACCTATCGCATTGTTTTATGGTCTTGGAGACTTGCTAGTTAACATCGTGGTAAGTAACAAAGACCTACTTGTTTGAATAAAATATATAGCAAAAAGAGAGAGAAAACAAATTAATTTTAAAAAATTATTTTTTATTTTTTGCTGTCTGTACACAGTTGAAAAAAAATTTGTGTTAAATTTAACAGATATCACATGTCCACAAAAGTTTTTGTGTTAATTTCACAGAATATGGATATATTAAATAAAGACAAATACTGTGTTAATATTTTAACATAAAATATATGCAAAACTTCAAGTAATTTAAAATAAATTTTCTGTAAAATTGACATAGTTTTAATGTAAAAATATGTTAACTTTAGATTTTATCATCCCCACTTATATTATAAAATAAAAAATGAACATTTTATTCTGTAAATTTTTACAGATAAATCTTGTCACTAATAAAATAAAGCATATTTATTGTTTAAAATTGAAAATAGATGCACATTGTGTTATTCTTATATCTTATAATAATTTTAATAATTTATTAATTTAACGTGAAATCAGCACAAAGAGATTTAAAATGCATACCGTTACTAATCATTTCTCGCAAAAAAAAACGAAGAATCTCTACACAAAAGGATTCATGGACGAAACATCAGACATGACACATTGCGACACGTGACACATTTCTAACATTATTAATTTGATAGGATATTAATGTAACGTAATAGCGTTTAAGATATAACTTGATAATTTATGTAACACTGAAGAAGACTGCGTGCAGTCGAAACGTTTAGATAATTCTTATATGTAAGATTCGGTAAATTTACGGTTTGTCCGATTCGATTGATATTTTTTCGGTTTAACAATGCTTGTAGAATATATTAAATAACTTTCTGATTCTAACATTCTATTTAATGCTCGTTATACTGGTCTCTTTTACTATATTCATTGTTTTAATAATTTAACTTGTAATAGTTTTAATAATTTAACATTTAAGTTCAATTAACACAACAATAATATGTTAAATTAACATTTGGTGTTAAACGTATTTAACAAAAATATTTTAACCGTTTTTAACAAGGAAACACAAATTTTTCTATTGTGTAGAAATATGAAAATTTTCTGATAATTCACAAGATCACTTTTTTCAAGAATGTCAAGAGACTCTATCGCATATTACCCAACGTAATCGACTTATATGAAGTGCCATGGCGCAAATTCAATCACGTCGATTTTATATGGGCCAAGGATGCTCCAAAACTCGTGTACGAAAGAGTTATCAAGATTATGAGAAATGAGAATTTAAATAATGTTACATCTACGAAATAATGTTACGTCAATAATAGAAATAATAATTAAAGATAAATATTATTTGTATCGTACTCGCTGTTTATTGGAAAGTTATTGATAAATAAATCTACATAAAATAAAAATTATTGTCAACTTGAAAAATTTAATTTAATTTAACACGATTCATTAATACATGTTACACGCATACATTTTGTAAATTTCTTGTCTTGCATTTAATTTCCCGTGACTTTTATTTTTGATATATCTTTTTATTTTAAAATTTGAATGCAACGTAATGTAATATAGTGTAAAAACAAAATTGTCAAAAAGAACAGTGACTAATTATAATTAATTGATATACAATAATAACATTTATATAAATGTTAGATAAGATGTTAAATATAATTTAATTAGTCAAAAATACGTTTCCGTGTAAAATAAATAATAAAAATTTAATCAGAATTATAATAATAATTAGTTGTCTATCTCTAATGTTGCGTTTTACGTATATTTTTGTTTAAAGACGCTTTTGAATTTATTTTGCGACTTATTTAAGTCACGCACATATTTGTTGAATTTCATTTTGCTATTTTCTTTAGACCTTTTTTCGTTCTTTTGTGACACATGATATAAATTCAAATAATAAATACACACACGTGTCCAAATAATAAATAAATGATTCTCAAGGATATACACATATCTCGAATTTAACATATCTAAAGTCGTTTCGAACGTATGTCAAACGGATGACAGTGAACAGTGAAAGCCGACATTTGCCGTTGAATTATTAAATATTACAAGGTAATTTTTAGAATATACCCTATTTTATTCTATCCACTCTGTGTGACATTGGGTTACGGGCAACTAAGCTATTATAAATACGATTGAAAATGCATCTGCGACTCACCGATTAATCATTATTATATCAACAAGTAGACGTCGAGAACAATTTTAAAAAATTATTTATAACTTTGTTAATGTCATTATTTACTTATATTATTATATAACTATATAAATTTTTTCTGACATTATGATGCATAAAATAAATTTTGCTTCGTAAATTTATACTCTTTTTCGTAGAGATTATTCTCATTTTATCATTTATAGAACAATATATATAAACTATATTTATACGAAATGTCGTTGTAATATACATTTTATACGAATTGTTCTATATCGCTTCAAAATTTATATAAAATATATAAAATTTATTTAATAATTTTATATAAAATTATATATAATTTATCAGTATTATTTATATTTATAAAATTTACATTACAAATTTATATATAAATTTATATTGCTTCATTTTTATTATAAATATTGGATTTATATATAATTTATATAAACTTATATAAAATTTTATGGTGGAACTAATTCTATCTTTCTTATCTAAAGTAAATACAAGAAGGATGAATGACGTCGTGTCGCCACCCTCGCCAAATTGTTTTATAAACAATATCCTCGCATGTTCGAAAAAGGAAACTTTGGCATGGGGCACCAAGAATTCCATTGTTTTTGCCAGACAGAAGAAAGATCAAAGTGGTCTACAGTATTTGCTAATTAATGATGCTTTTAAGAATACAGTGAACTCATTAGCATTTTGTCCTAATGTCGATAGTTCAGACTGTCCAGAATTACTAATTTCTGGTGGTGATGAGGATAACGTCAAAATTTGGAATGTGGATACGTTAGAATTGGTCTCCGAGTTCTCGTTTAAGAATGTAAGCAAAACGTTGCAAAATAAAGCTAAAGTTTTGTACATATAGTATATACAGTATCTTATTTAACATTATAAAAGAATTAATTCGCTTATTCAAGAAATAATAAATTCTTAATTATTAATGTAACTATTTCTTTATAGAGTAAATCAATTATAGGAGTTGATTGGTCAGTCAAAGATACCAATATTGCATATGCAATAAATTCAGAGGGCTGTTTAATGTATTGTTACATATCATATCAGATGTCAAAGATAATATCTCTAGGCCAGCTAATCCCTACATGTTTGGCTTCGTGTCCCCACGACTCGAATCTTGTAGCGATAGGTACCAAAAGTGGATTAATTTATATTGTTCAAAAAGAAACAATATTATATGAATTGGATGGTCACGATAAGAAAAATATAGTCAGTTTATCGTGGTGTCCTTCGGATATGAACATCATAAATAGAAATGATAAAAGAGATTTACTTTTAGCTTCTAGCGCAGAAGACCGGTAAGATAAAATTCTCATAATATTTTCATGTGCTCCATGTCTCATGTATTAAATTAATTATATATATAAAATATCTGTACATATTATATCAAAAAAAGTAAAGGACTTATAAATATATTATTGTCTCTATCTTTATATCATTTTCTTTTTAAATATTAAAATGAGGAAGCAATTAATAGCCAAACATTCTTTACTCTAGATATGTGATTATTTGGAAAGCTGGCGGAGATGGTAAACGCGAGATTTTGATAAATATGCCAAGTTCGCCATCTTGGTATAATAAACACGAACGCATTTTAATTTGGATTGCAGTGTGTTGGGTGAAGCCTGAAATGCTTTTAATTTCCTCTCCTTGGGGTGAACTTTGGTCTTGGAACCTTTCTACAAACGAAAATAAACCTATGTATAAGCTGTTCCATACTTATCACAAGAAACCATTGTTTTCCATAGTCGCTCTATCCAAAAATGATTCAATATCCAACAATGGCAAAACAAAGTTCGAGTGAGTAAAGATTTTACGATTGTTTCGACGTGACACGTAACGTAAAATAATGAAGCTCCGTATTAATTACACTTCAGACTTACGATTTGGACTTACGCGCAAGATCGCTGCATTATATGTTGCAAAGCAAACAACAATTCTAAATCAGCGGTCCTGAATTATAAGATTCCTACGCAAGGAGCCTTTATCTACTGCATGGCAGCTTGTGACATCGATACTTCGCTTATTGCACTTGGCGTTGGAGACGAGATGTTGCGCCTGTTGAATGTTCCTGAATCTCAAAACGTAAAAGCTTTTGATATTATTATGCATAAGCTGATTGTAAAAGACAAGATAAGAGCGGTAAAATGTTTTTTCAAATTATTTTGAAAAATGAAAAATATTAAATAATATATTATGTAAATATTACTATGTGTATTTATTGTATCAGATGTCATGGTTTCCTCAAGATAAATTCACAGTGGCTTTTGGTACCGAAGAGGGTCGCGTTGGAGTATCGAACAAAATTGGAACTAATAAACCTCCTATATTATACAGGAAATATCATAGAAATGCTATTAATAAGCTTGAATGGGCTAAATTTAAAGAGGATTATTTTTTATTCTCATGTGCAGAAGGAGAATTAGTAGCGTACAAGGCATGTGCGCCAAACAACGGTAAGATATTAAAGCTCGCTATTTTATAATACTGTTTTGTTATCACAATAGTACCATTTTTTTATTATTATATATTTTTATTATTATATGTTTTTATTATTATATATTTATTATATTTCAGAACCCATGTCCATAATCAAAAAAGGATGCGTGGAATTTGCATGGAAATTCAATTTGTGCTTAGCGATTGCGTTAGAAAATGGGTATAAACCTTAGATTTATTTCAAAAAGTGATGAAATAATTGCATCAAATATATGAATATTTGTTCTTTCAGATCGATCATGTTTTACGATCAGATGCTGAGGAAACAATATGCGATACATTTGTTAACATCTATGGTGAATTGCTTGGTGTGGCATCCTGAAAGTACGGCGACAGATACATGCAAGTCGTCAGCTGCCAATTACTTGGCAGTTTCCTCATCCGATTATAATATAATAATTTTTGATATGTCAGAACTGATAAAAAACCTGGAAAGAGCGCTTACCATGGATTGTGTCGAGGAAGAAGACATTAAAGAAAAAGGCAAATGCCACAACATAGTAGCGATGTTAAACGGACACAACGATAAAGTGGTGTGTTTAGCTTGGAGTCCACACTTCAGTAAACACTTAGTTTCCGGTAGTGACGATCATGTTGCACAGGTAAAATATATAGCGTACAAATTATATGATAATTTAAATATACTCTTTCACTGTTGGATGATTAATGTGTGCTTCATTGTGCGTTATTTATTAAATTTATATAAAGGGTGTTGGCAAAAAATTCTAAATTAAATTTTAAAAATTATTTTTAATGGTACAAAATAATAGAAGTGTGCCCAGATATATATACACGATTATATAAATACATTTTTTAATATTCTTTTTTAGGTTTGGAATATTGATAAACAGGAACTGATAGGCACATATATGGGTCACAATGGATCTGTGCTATGTTGCATGTGGAATCCCTTAAAACCACAATTGATAATGACCGGCTCGTCGGACTGTATGTTACACATGTGGGATTATACTTTACCGGCACAATCACCGAAGTATCTCTTCAATATTAACGTAAAGGAGAATCTGAAACTAAAAAATTGGTCAAAAAATCAAACGAATAAACAGCAGAGTAAATCGATCATTCAAATATGCAAATCGTCAAATAGTCAATCTAATATATATAATATAAGCACAATTGCGTAGTATTTCTTAGTTTATAATTTACATATGTATATATATATATATATATATATATATATATCAAGATTTTCAATTGCAGGATTGCAAATAGTATGGCTGAAAAATAAAAAGAAGAATTCATATTTTAATGAATATGATAAATTAATGAACGATAGAACTTAAATTTAAAATTATATCAAAAACAATATAAGATCGAAACAAGAACAATATGAAGAAGATGATAACATTACAAACATATTGCTATTCTCTAAAAAGCATCTTTTAAAACTTGTTGAACATAAAAGTAAATTGAGTTAAACAATGTTATACATATTATAGAATTTTCTATTTGTAATAAATATTTACCTACTAATTAATTACTAAATACTAAGTATATGTTTGCAGAATTAACTCAAAATAGTTCAAATACCATTACTGAGATGAATATGTGGTGTAACAATTTGGAAAACGATTTGGCGAGCGCGGCTAAAAATAAAGAATTAAATGATTTTTTAGTATCGCTCGCGTCGAGCGTTTCTATGAAGTACATACCAACATTTTTTGTATATGCAGTTAAGAAAAGATATTTGTTCAATGT